AGTGTTATCGCTTATTTCCCTAACATCCATGTCGTCTTGTCCTTTGGAAATCAGTAGGTTATGCTTCAACTTCTTATTCAGCTTACGTTCAACTTGTATGTGTACCTACTTCTGTTATATATTGGACCGCCTCCGTGGTCTAGTGGTAGAGCGTCCGCCCAGACAGCAGAAAGTCCGGGGTTCGATCCCCGGCCGCGTCATACCAAAAGACGTGAAAAGATGGTACTTGATGGTACCCTGTCTAGCGCTCGGCGTAAAGGGGCCAAAACAAGGACTGGTCGGCTCAGTATACTGTGTCTGCTTTGGGTATTTATGTTAAATTTCGGCATGGTATCTCAGTGGGCTAGTAGCACTTTAAATCGGCATCGGTCCGGAGTAGTACCAGCAGCCACACACACGCATGAACGTCGCTATATACGTGCTATAATATGGGACGCGACGTGAAACACCTCACCCGTTATTCATTGGTTTGCATCACAGAAGCTGCATCTTCACTCACTACGAGTGTGTTTATTATATATAAGAGGTTTGAGCGTATAATGGGGACCCGTTTTCCGAACCAACAACGGATGGCTTAAACAAAACCTTATTTCAGACGCTAGTGCTTTGGTTATATAGATGCGAAAACACCCGATTTGTGCCACTCGGTTTCCATGCTGTCAACACGAAAATACAGATAACCTCCTTTATGCCGGGGAGGTACATGTACATATATTGTATCCGGAAACGTAGATTAACTGCATATTTGTACATTTTGTTTCCTATTTAAAATAACGAATACGTAACGAGATTGTGGTTTCAGATTACAGACTTATTGTGATCACTAGGCCCTGTGGTGTTAACGGGAGGAGGTATATGACTTTATTATGGTTTGGCAAGAGCCTGAGTAAGCCTATGCCTCCTGCGCCATGGTTAGCAGTTAGGAGCCCCGTACCCGCAACATGAAACTGATGTGAACAATTTTGCTGGAAATGGATATGAACAAAGACAGCGAGTCAGCTCACTGTCACTGTCACGTCCCACTTGCACATGGGACGCTCAGTGCCATACGCCTCCACCATGCATTAATCGTTCTGGTGTTGACCTTTCATATTTACAGGGAAAACAGACCTTTGGACGAGGACTGAAGACACAAAGAAGCACAAGAAAATATCGCTCAAATGTAAGTAACATTTATGTATCTGTTGGGCAGTGTGGTACCCTAGAGGTGGGTGTTCTTCCCGATGGTAAATGTCCGATTTCACACATGGGCAATGCATGAAGCAAATGTCTTATGTCCCCGTATGGGATATCGCTAGAATAGTGCTAACAGCGGCATCAAATATTAGTCATTTCACTGATGAATCTGTTGACCTGCATGTATTTTTAACACATTAATATAATGTTTTAATGTGAAGTTCACATGTCATGAAGTATTTTTCATTTGACGAGAGGCCGGTCATATGACCACGAAACTGACGTTTATAAGCGTATGAACAACACACATTGAAATTTAGATGGATGTCTTCATGAGACTGTATTTCAGATATTGTCGTAAACAATGGCGGACTTCTTCCACATCCCCATGGGAAACTCCTGGGAATTCCCTATCACGAAGAATTGAGAAGTGTCAGTATTGATCATTTTGGCATTTTCATCTTGAACTTAGGGTTTCTGCATACAAGTGTTTGACTGTATGGCAGTGATGGAATATCCTCGTTACGACTCATCCTAGTGAACATAATATTTAAAGATATGCACACACAGACTATAGACTCGATCCGTGCCTAGATTGATACATATGCACGCACACACACACACACACACACACACACACACACACACACACACACACACACACACACACACACACACACGCACCCACGCACGTACGCAGGCACGCACACACACACACACACGCATATATATATATATATATATATATATATATATATATATATATATATATATATATATACACACACAGATATTGCCTACCTTTTATTGTACTTTTGTATGATACAGATCACAAAGTTACCTTGAAACAAGAAGCAAGAAGCACTGCAGAAGGCTAGTCCACCAAATGTGACAACGTTTTGCCAAGGGACATCAGAACGACTTCTTGCCTCGGTAACCGAACACGGGCTGCGTTTTAGAGGGAGAACTCCCGGAGATGGCAACTGTTTTTTCCACGCAGTTGTAGATCAGCTTCAACGCCTCGATACCAGATCAGTGTTTGACCACAGGGGACTAAGGATGGCAGTAGTTGACAGCCTACGGAGGTATCCTTATGTAAGTGCATACCGGACCATATAGTTGTGCATAAGTAAGCTCATACAGAACCCTTCTTTATAAGGGCGAGCTGTCATGGAAGACGCATGCCACTGATATATGCTTAGGCGAGTACATTATAAAAGGCTAGTATTGGCTTCAAATTAATCTGTGTCTAGGAACACATTTCGAAAGGATAATACATAATCAGATAACAACATAATGGAAAACAGCATTGCCAGCAAACAGCAAGGAATCACATAGAGAGTGCATGCAGATAACCATTGTGACGTTATTGGTCTGGTGAGGGTACTGGGGTTGCCCTTCGGGTGCAGATACACTCGATAAGTGAATCCAGATGATACAGGATGTCTGCGCACATCATTCAAATTCATAACACAGGTATTCAGTGGGGTTCAGGTGGAGGTACGAAATTTCGCTGGACAAGGCAGTTCCACGACTGGCATAAAACATGCCGACTAAAGTGGAGGATAAGGTCAGTTCTATAGCTGTGTACATGGTCGGTATTTTCTAACATGGTTAATGGACGTAACTCTGCACAGCGAATAGATGACAGCTCCTTGTTCCTCGCCCCATTCAACCTCACCTCGCTATGATTAGAGTTTAAGGCGCATGTAGGTGTTTAATTTCAGAGAGTGATTGTGGTTTTAGCCGCTTACGCCACAGCCGGTCAATGGAACCGTTGATGACCTCAGAAATTAGATCCATAGATGGTACTCATGTGGGAAATGGAACAATGGGTTGCGGCGTGACAAGCAAACGTTTCAGCCACAATACTACACCCACACCCCAAGTGTGCCTAACATTGATATATGATGAATTGCTAATTAAAATGCTACCAAATCTGCTTGTGTAACGTCAATTATATATACTTGTTTTCTATAGGAAGGAGGCACACACCTATCCAATTTTGTCGATGTGCAACGGCACGGAACCTGGAACCTTTACTTGGAGGCCATGTCTACACCGGGTGAATACGTTGATCACCTTGTAGTACAGAGAACATCGCAGTTTCTCAAAATGGACATTGCCGTTTTCACAAGTTCCGAAGATGGAACCTCGTCCGACAGCAATGTTGTAATGATATCTGGTGGACCAGGAGCGGCTATTATGTTAGGTCACTATCATGAAGCACATTATCAAAATCTAGATTTCGATATTCAATATTTTCATTCATACGGGTTTCATATATAAGTAACTAAAAGATCAAATATGAAATAAGTACCCACTTTTGCCACACATTTGCTTTCACCAACAGTTCTTCTATATCAATTCTTCTAATTGAAGAACCTGGGCCATTGGTGGGCATAATAAGTGTTATCATCCGATACATTTTAGTCATCTCCTATGACAAGCGCTGGCGACATATTCTAATTAAATACAAAGCATAGAATCTAATACAACCGCATACAACGCGGAATATTTCCTTTAACTATCACCACTATTGAGCCTTTTACGCCCAGTGGAATATATTTCGTCAGATTATCGAGACTGGTTAATCTCTGTCGTTGACGTGTTACATTTAAGAATTAACTTCAATATATATATTTTGCTTTTATGTTGGTATAAAGGTAAAAACCGATTTGCACACTGTGTACATAAGCATTAATAAGTACGTCAACGATAGTAACTTCACAGACTGTTCATTAAACAAACAACTGTAGCCAACATTTCGAGCTAAAACAGCGCACACACTTCATAAGCCAATCATAACACAGTTGTTCGTTAGTGACCTAAATATTTTTCGGTTTTTGTTTCCGCCTAAAATTCCTTGGTTAGTCAAGGAAATGCCATTGAATCACTTGCAATGTATATAAGTACAAGTAATAAAAAAGTAATACATGACGTATATGTCATTTTAGCAAGCTGTTGCCGAAACAATCCGTCATTGTTATTTTAGGACAAGTGGAATGTTCCACGGCGCAAGCAGGTTCATCACCATTGCCGGCGGAGGATGTGGTGAGTGTGATGAAACATATTGATATTTTCGTCTTTACAAATATGCTTACGATACAGGACGAACTGCCTTAAGGTAGAGAGTCATGTAATAATTTTTGTTATTACAGGGCGGTTTAACTTTAACTGTTACTTGTAACCTATAACTAAGTACACTTACAATATATAAAGGAAATATAAACTTGGCGGATGCAATGATATCTTTGATATATAGATATAATTTGTTGTATGTTTTTCAGTTTCAAGATATCTGTAATGATGACAGAAGCTTGGACGAAATAGTAGTGACGATAGGTCCCTACCGAATATCAAAATTGGATATTCTGACAATAGCACCAATACTTCCGAAAGAAACAGAAGACCAACAGAGAGAGAAAATTGACAAAGAGACCAGATGGACTGTGGGCTGGCTAAATGATCAGGTATGTGTACACCACTGTATACACATGAAGTACATTTATTAAGCGGTGATAAAGTGGAACAATAACGTTAATAATATTATGTTTCTTTGCAGATAATAAACGTCTCCTTGTATGTGCTGTGTCAAAGGCGGGGGGTAAGTGACAGGATATTCAACTTACCGTGATATATACATATGATATGTACAAAATGATATGTAGATATGTTTACAAGATGCCATGTCATTCATTAATAGATTAATCAACTTTGTTACAAATTGTGATAATGTGTGCAAATACCAAAACAATATTCGTCCTTGAATATATCACTTGCTATTTTAGAATATGTTATTTGTTTCGGGGTAAGCAGAGAAACGCAGCTTTATCAACCCAAGTTATAGAGGGATGGCAACATTTCAAGTCCAAAAGGAGACGCCGGGCGCCACTTGTTCAAAAGGTAAGAATTGCTTTTTAGAAATATCTGCAGTTACAATTTTAAACTGAAGACAAAATATGCCAAGGGAATATATAGTTGTTTTATTCGCCCGTAAAGAGATCACCCGTTTAATAAACATACAGCTGTATAACACGTTGTATAATACCAAAGCGCGTGCTTATATACTGCGGGAACAAGTTTCAGTAACAAATATTGAAAACTCCCAACATCCCTGGGCTTATTCAACGACATTGCGTGTAGTGACGATAGATCACTGAGAGGGTATGCACACGCAATTACCATCTCAACCCTGATGCTATGCTGACGTCACATGACATTGTTTCGTGGTTGGATCTTGTAACAATATTCTACATATTACGTCAGAGGGTATTGTGACGTGTTGTAATCTTTTTGATGCAGGATCCTGTTCCACAAGTCAATAGTAGCGCAACGACGGACGTAAGTTTATGTTACTATAAGGGTAAATCTATTTTTCAGTGCATTATCATTTGCAGAAGCCCGAGGTCTTCCAATAAGACCGAGGGCTTCTGCAAATGATAATGCCCTGAAAAATAGCGTTACCGTTATAATAGCTAAAAAGGATGGAATTTGTTATCAAATAAAAAGAATCAACAATATCGGTTTTGAAAGATTTACTGCAATCAAAACGAATGTCACTGACCCGCTTTTACAAATATGGAAACGCCATAGAACAAACCAGATGACGTCACTATTGAACATGACGTCACCTATCCCTATCCTAACAAATAGTCAAAACCCAAGTATGACATCATCTGGTTTGTTCTATGACATTTCCATATTTGTAAAAGTGGGTCAGTAACATATTTTAAAAAGTTATAAACGGCAAGTAATAAATGAATTACTAAGCTCGCTCCTCTTTAATAACATTTTTATGAAACTCGTGAATAGTTTCTTGTATCGGACTCCCTTTCGAGCGTGAGATATCAGAACTATTCACTCGTTTCATACAATTAGTATTACACAGGAGCTCGTTTAGTATTCTCTATTCGTCATATAGTGGGAATGGGTAAAGAGAAGAAGATGTCATTCACTGTCGGTTGTTGAATAAGAATCGCCTAGCCTTGCAAGGCTTGTCATTATTGAGAAAAGAAAATTAAATCTTCAAGAAAAAGCGTTTTCTGAAATTGACAGTATCATAAGTGAGATAAGATGCACTGGAAGAGTTTCTGAACCGCCGAAAGACGCCGACATATTCAGGAAATGAATTGAATGAATTGAATAAAGTTGATGAAGACAAACATTCCTTTAATGTAGCAACAGGTAACTGGATACATATCAAGTCTAATCGTTGCACATATATGAAACCTTAAGAAGGGATATTATGTTGTTTTTGTTCCTTTGTTGTGTAATGCAACAATAAACAATAGTCTAGGTATATGGCGACGTTTTAATCATGTAGATGCTACTGTTGGAAATACTTCTAGATTAACAATATAATATGAGCTATGGTATGAAACAAAAAGTATGTTTTCAAGATGGATGCATGTTGTTATACTGTCTTCAGTTGTCAGATATATATGGGCAGTAAATGTCATAAGAAACGTTTTAATAGAAGATAGATGCAGTTCTTTTGATGGTTGATGTTTTAACATAATGACATGGAAACGAACTATGTACATGAGACGAACATAGATATAATTTACCAGTGATATTTTATTCAATTAAATATTTTATGGCTAACCGAAAATTGCCACAACACAACAACATAGGCTACTGTGAAAGACTCGCTATACTAATAAAGAAAACACAATTTAATGTCCTCAATAATATATGTGAACAACCGATTGCCTGTTAATACATATGATACCAGAGATGTTCAAGGGACGACATGAGATACCGTTTGTAGGCTGAGATAAAGTACACAATGCCGTGAGAAAGCACAACCTTAGTCCTGTACTGTAGATTGTAGGTATTTGAGTATTGTTCCGAATGTAAAGGACCATGTTCGTTGTATTTCAGGAAAAACTCTCGGAAGCAGAGAAAGTGTTTATACCGATTCACAGACATGGAAGCCATTGGACATTGCTGGTAAGTTGTATTTCCTAGGTATTTGAGACAGAAATTGACCACACATGAATGGTGCCGATCGTATGTGTGTAGATGTGTGACTCACGTCGAAGTGTGTGGGCGTGTGTTGGATTTCAATCGTGTGACTGAATTTCGGGTCGATCACTTGATCCTCAGATTTGTGTACAGGCCCACGTCGGATGGCAACAAATACATACGTTTTTGTGCAAATTGTACGAATTGCAGTTGCTTCCATTTGGGGAGACATGCTTACCCCTTTCGTAAAAACCTGGCGGCCTTTGATTTTCAGTTTACCTTTATGTGAAGGTCACATATAGACGTACAACAGTTACTGTCACTCCTTATTTCTGACGCAGGTGTTGGATGTACAAGCCAAACGAATGCGCTTCTATGACCCCTTGAACCGGAGAATAGACGAAGAAGTGGTCAACACAACAAGGTAGGGTTGCTGAATAAGTAAATTCCCTATATCGCCACATCTATAATAATAAATTAAGTAGTTTTATAGCCCTACAAGTACATGGCTGCTTACGTTATTACTATGAACTGCTGAGTTGCCTGTCGGTCAAAACTCATTGCATTTGCACTTTTCTTCAAAGGGAGTACATGGAATACAGACTTCAGAATGTACCAGATGATGCAATTGACCTATCAAACTACAACGTAGAGGTCAGTCATGAATACACCACACAGACGGATGCTACAAGCTGTGGTGTTTGCATATGCATAGTGAGTACAGCAAGGTCTCAAAAAGAGTTGTTCAAAACTGAATAATAACGATTAAATATTTTCTCGCCACTGATTACACTTTGACTTATTCACGGTTACTATGAAGAAAATATTTTTTTAAATTTATGTAAATGAAAGAATACCTGGAATAGTGAGTGATTTAATGGTAACATTGAATATGATTTCGTGTTTCAGTATGCGTGAGAACGAATGCAGCAAGGACAAGAAGGTACGACCGTTTTTTGGTGTATTGAAGTTCTAATGTATAGCAGATATATTACAGACGATATGTATCAATTATTATTTTTAAAATAAAAACATGACATATTTTGCAGTGTGACCCGAGCAGATGCCGTTCTTTCATAGCCAAAGAAATTTTGAATGCAATGAAGGATGTGGAACCAAAGGTACTTTATTTGTGCACTGTGAATAATTGTGACAGTAATGGGCAAATACGCTACTGTTTATTGTTCGTAAGCTAACCAAAGGTATGTGTCACATATATATCCCCGTATTTCGAATATTCAATAAGTAATTCACATGAAATTCCATTCTACTTATTAAATGTGTGCTACTTGGAACATCGTTCCATTTCAGAATACAACAAAGGAAATACCAAGCAAATACGGACTGCGGGAGCAAGTTCCAGTGGTAAAACATAATGAGGTTTCACTGATACATCTAGATGGTCGATTCCATTTCATGTAGTACTGAAAATACATTTAGTATACATGCGACCCGTGAAGATCCGGGTAGAATAGGTCTTCAGCAACCCATGCTTGCCGTAAAAGGCGACTATGCTTGTCGTAAAAGGCGACTAACGGGATTGGGGTCAGGCTCCCTGACTTGGTTGATGCATGTCATCTATCCCAATTGCGTGGATCGATGCTCATGATATTAATAACTCGATTGTCTGGTCCAGACTCGATTATTTACAGACAGCCGTCATATAGCTGGAATATTGCTGAGTGCGGCGTTAAACAACAAACCAACCAACCAACTAGTACACATGCATGTGTTATGCACATAATGCATTAAGTACCCATGACAACAAACTGTTATTATTCATACCTAAAATACACCCGTGAAGATCCGGGTCAGAAAAGGGTCTTCAACGACCCATGCTTTTCGTAAAAGGAGTCTGTGCCTGCCGACTTTTATTCAGAGAATTTATCTCCATAAGTTTGCATGGAAGTGATGCGACCCTATATACATGTTGTATTCACGTGCACTTTCTGATTTCATAAGGTAATATAGAATTGACGTAATTAATTCGTACTATAATTCATTAAACATAATAACTAGTAATAATGGTACACTGTTTCAAAATTTCATATAAAATTTATTCGCTCCTGAAATTCTGTTACTACACTCGGGACACAAATACATTTCTATATGTTTCTGAATCAGAAGAGATTTTCGGATTCGTGGTGTGCTGACCAACCTCTGCCATTGAAACGAATACGAAGACCTGAATTTGCGGCATTGAAGATCCAAACACAGGTACAGAAAGTAAAATCTGATTCATGAAATATCTGAATGTTCTGTTCTTGCTCCATCACATGAAGACTTACGAAAGTGTTGTACAGTTCGTATCTTAAGTTGATAAATAGTATACATTTGTTAAAAATTGGTTTGTGAATGACCATAGAATTGTTTGTATTTCATTTAGAAACCGAATCCTGAGGTGCAGCTTAAAAGGTATGATACTTTTGACAATAATATATGAAAACATTTTAATAATCATAATAAATCTTTGCTTGAAACAGGATACGATTAAGACGATATCATAAGTTTGTGAATAATAAATTTCTATACTTGTGTCGCTTGATACACATCGACTAGTCACAGAGATTTGCAGGCAGTTATCATACAGCAATTAAAATATATTGGAGAAAGAATAATTACTGATTGCATTTACTGTTGCGAAAGAGGGAATACTAGAGATAATTATTAATTTACTACATATTATTGCAGCACAAAATGTGTCGAAAAGACGACAGTGACAAGAAAAGCCATGCGTGAGTATTTGTTTAGAAACCAACCTCATATAAGAATTAAGACACACACGCACGCACGCACACGCACACACATGCACACACAGACAAACACACATAGAGAAAAAGATGCCCATGCTATAAACTCAAAGTATCAATATGTTTGTTTAATACAAATAGCAGTTCCTGCAGTAGACATGAAGGAATATGGTGACCAACAAGTGAACATACTTGCTGATGATCTCGAGGAGCTGAGGACTGTGGAACGATCAGAATTCCGAAATGTGGTATGAACATTCATATATATTGACCTACAGTTTCAGTTGTAAATATTATATTGGTATAACAACTTGTGAGTTTCAATATAGATAGATAGATAGATAGATAGATAGATAGATAGATAGATAGATAGATAGTGTTAATTTCCAATCTCTAGACTGTAGTAAATGTGTCACGAATAACAATATGAAAACGTATTTTTGATGACGTTTTTATTCCATTGGATTTGTAACTATATAAATATGTTTCTGTGTACACTTGATAAACGGTATAACTAGGAATGTTTTGTTCCTTTAGTTGGAAAAGATAGTTGATGAAGATGTACCCAGGCTGTACCGGTACCCAACAAATGATACAGAAGAAGTACCTGAAGAGTTCAGGAGACATGTGCTTTATTTTCAACGAAAGAAGCTGGAGAGGAGCAGAGCCATGTCCCACCTTAATGCTGTTGTAAATATTACTCTAATGTGACTTCACGAATGTTGAAAACGCTTAATAATTTGCCAGTGTTTGGAAATACTGATAACCATCTCAACACAGAAATACTGAGTTACATATTAAATTTGCTTACAGATAAACGGTATGTTCATACTACAGTGACATTTGTCTAACCGGCCTCTGTCTAAAGCGGATATGCCCATATAATGAAGATATTTTCGATCCAAACTTTTACACGTAAATTTATACTGAGAGTACATGACATGACCTAATGATAGAATGACTGCTTTCAGGGATATGCCATACTGATGCAGTCCATGGAGACACATTTGGTGACGAGGACAAGAGGTCCAAGGTAAGAATAGGATAAAATAAACTTAAGGAACATATTTATTTTTCCATCAAGAAGCTTCTGCTTGTTTGTCATCACTATATAAGAATCAAGCGGGTATTAAGAACGAATGAGCTTTGTTTCCACAACTGACCGATAGTTTTACGGCATGCACTACCAACAAATATACAGAAATGATGTAGTGATTTATTTAATTTGCATTTTCAGACTTTTTGACATCACAAAAAGAAATCTGATACTACCCGATGCTGTACTACAATTTGGACGTCCAGGGTATGTGACTGATGATTGTAAGTTGTAATACATAGTTCTGTCCTAATGGTTGTACGGGTGACAGAAACATGAGGCTTCAGCCATCACAAAAATTGCTGTCACTCGATTCATATATTTTTCAGGAACGACTATTTCCTCAAAGTGGTGGAAGATTTCATTTTCTACCATGCCAGAAAGCATTTCGAAACAAGGCACACAGGTATGAAATTCTTGAGTGGGTGAGTGAGTGAGTGAGTGTGATGTTCGTGGATATCAGTATACCAATAATAAATGAAAGGATTTGTCAGCATATTAAAGAAGAAAGAAAATGCCGAGGACATGCAGGTCGAAGTCATGTAATCCTTAAATAACTGTCACTTCGTTGAAACCATTTTGTGTAAATATACTACTTTTGCATTTTCAACATGTATACTCGAACCCTGTTTTGTCGAATGTACCGATATGTCGAACCTTGTCTGTGGTCGCGACCGCCTATACAAATACATATAAATTTACCCGCATATGTCTAATTAGACATGCTATTACATATCGTTATCTCGAAATTTGACTTAAATATTTAATGCTTGCCACGTTAACAGTTTTGAGAAGCGCAAATAAACATATTGCCTAGTTGTGAGCAATTCTCCTACATACATGCATGTATAGGTCTATTTGTAGTATATTTCTTGCCACATCTAACAACGCTGTAAATGGATTTTGAACCAATTGTTCATACACGTATGTAGTTACAAGTTTGTCCAATTGTCATGTATGTAACTTTTAGTACGTTATTTTGTTTCAGATTCATGACAGATTGGATATGCGCTTATTTAAGAGAAAGCGTTATGAGTATATAAGAGTATATCTATTACAAAAAATGAGGACCGGGTTGATATAAGAGTGAGTGAAAGGTTGATATTTGAGTGAATGAGTGAGTGACATTAAGAAGATATGTTGTTTGAATATTAAATATTTGATGTTTGTGCTTAGTGGAAGGCCATAGAAAACTTGTTTAATAGAAATTAGCGTAAAACAGTTGACAGATTATCCACCTATTACAAGGCTGGATAAGTGAAAGAGAGCTAAATATTCCAATGAACAAATACTTGTAACTTGTCAATATTAGACGTCCTTTAAGGCATATGATATACAACGGAAAGAAGAGAACTTCATTCGATATGCTTTCAAGAAGAGTCTCTATTAATTATGCCAGAATATTTCCGTTTATATCAGCTGACGCATACCTGTACGAAAACCTGTCAAAAAAGCAAATTAAGAACATGTAGTGTGCAATTCATGGTACTAAATTAAATATAAAAGTCGTGTATGAACCCTATTTACTACTAGATTGTAATCAATACATTATAAATATGGGAACACTGCCCACTTCCTGGAATGTACAAGCAAAACAACTGAAACTAAACAACACATTAAAACACAAATGTTATTTCAGAAAGTGGTCATATGTAACAAGTGTCATATTTGGGACGACACCTTCTTAGTATAGTACAAATTCTCGCACTTTGTTTGGTTGAGTCCCTATCTAATTACCCACTCAGCCACCGAGGCTTCCGCAAAAATGGAAGTACGACAACTGGTAGTCTAGATCACGTACTTTGTGTACCGTTCTGACAAGTGTAAATTGGCACAGCTCCCATGGCCGAAAGCTATGAACTTTACTAAGAAAGTGTCATCCAAAATATAACCTTTGTGACATAGGACCACTTTCTAAAATGACATTTGTGTGTTCATAAACTTAGCACTTTTGTTTCCAAAATTACTATCAAGAATAAGAAGGCCTCACTGCACACTTTGAATAGGAGAAATACCAACCTGAATATAAATACAATACAAAGAACTATATATTGCACCTTACGGTTTATTAAGCAGCAGCTGTAACAAGTTTATAACAATGTCATTCAAAGAATAGAACTTACACAATAGGCATCCGGTGAGTTATCACTGCTGGGGTCAAAAGATCTTCTCACTCACCCAGTGGCAAACTAGCCATCATTGAGCTGAGTACTCAAGCAGTCCAGACAAACGCAACCCATGCACTGTGTCAAAGGCCGACAAACTTATTCTCAGATCTGACGTTTACAGAACACCCCTAACACATGAATAACTTCACTTAAAGTCAAAGGCTCTTCACTTAGTTTACTCTTTACCATATTTTCAATTTTGTAGATATATGTTTGTACATATAGTCTAACACCACCATTAGCCATCAAATGTATATAAAGTTCAGTTCAGTGTCGTCTGCAGGAACTTCCATACGTATGTGTAATTGACGGAAGTGACAGTCGCTAGGGCAACGTGAATGACTGAACTGTTCATTTGAATAATTGTGTCATTTGTGCTACTTGCTCTGTGTTTATATCTAATACTTTCTTAATTATGTAATCACGACCCAAAGAACGCGAGGGTTAGTACTGGTCTTCAGCAGCTTGTAGTAAAAGACGACTAACGGGATGCATATCATCGTATCCCATTTGCGTGATCGATGCTCACTATGTCAATCACTGGATTGTCTGGTGTAGACTCGATTATTTACAGACCCGTGGTCATTAGCTGGAATATTGCTGAGTGCGGCGTTGAATAACAAATATAAATGTATTAATGGCCTTAAATGTTGATGTGACCCTATGGGGAGTTAAAGAAGTAGGCGTTGCCTCAAGTAACCTGTGCTTGTCGTAAGAGGCGACTTACGTGGACTGGGTGGTCGGACTCGGTGACTCGGTTGATTGAGTGTCACGGTATCCCGAGTGTGTTAATATTTGCTGGTGAAGCTATTTGAAGCAAGTATACCTAACACACCTTTTTGATTACAATGGATATATTATATGTGTTTATTATTCTGTTATGAATAAATGTCTTTGTTATCATGCACCCCAAAGTTTGAGTTCTTTGTGTGCACTTAATGCATGTGTATGGTTTTATACGCTTCAACGGCTACATCACGGCGTCGGGTGGCTGCAGGAATGGGCTTCAAACGAAACATTACCCCGATGTAAGGAATCGAACTCGACAGTTTCGGCGTTCATTGAGACACTAAGCTACCCTATCGCTAATATGGACATATTTTCTTCACACCTATCACATTTACAAATATTACCGTGCACAGTGGAATCTGTCGAGACAGGACTTTAACTAATCAGCATTTGTAATACAAGGCGATATCAATGGTGCCGAATATACTATGATTCATAATAATGCTTCTTTGAATCTTGTTTCTATTTACATTTGTTACCCTCTCTTATAATATTCCTAACGCAGGCCTCTGTAAAAATCAGACTCACTTTCGGCCCTACAATAAGTAAAACGTTCATTTCACCTGGATGTCAAAACAATGACGCAATGAAGTCCGAAGCAGATATTCCACTGTACAACACAATAAAAATTGAACGTCAAAAGCCCATTGGATGAATGCGCAATTGCAATGCTGATGCGAAAGGGTAATTCTCTCAAATGTTGGAGGCAAAGGGAATTCCAAAGCTTTGTACTCATAGATTGCGGTGTTCTCAGCATTCCAGAGAATCCTGCGCTCGTCCTTACGGAAGACTTCACCAAATGCATGGTGATAAATGATGATTTGTTTGTTGTTTAACGCCGCACTCAGCAGTATTCTAGCTATATGACGGCGTCTGTAAATAATCGAACCTGCGCCAGACAATCCAGTGATTAACATCATGAGCATCTATCTACGCAATTGGGATAAGATGACATACATCAACTAAGTCAGCGAGCCTGACCACCCGATCCTGTTAATCGCCTTTTACGACATGCATTGGTTGCTGACGACCGATTCTAATCAGGAGCATAAACGGCGTCTCACCTACCATGGGAGGTATTTACAGGTTGTTACAATCAGCAATCCCCGTTATTTGAATCGGCCAGATGTTGTATTTTTAGTAATGTATTGTGTATTGTTCGTCATACATAATGCGACACACTAATGCAATATTTTCGCCTTTGTTAAAAGTACCAAAACACTACAGAGATGTAATGATGATTTCCCCCGACATTGTGCAGTCTGGATCAATTAGAATTGACTGAAGGGTTTGGCAATGACACTATGGTCATATAAATTCGTCTACCGTAAACAAACCAGAATTGATTAAGTAAACTATGTAACTAACTTTTCTGACAAACACTACATGCATTTTTATATTAAAAAGTGCAGAACATTGAAAAAATATTTTAATTATCTCATGAAGTCGGCGTGAGAGTTGTGGAGTCAGATGTGAGTTAGGGGCGTCCCGTATTTCTACAGCCTCGTAATAAGGGATCTGGCGAGGGAGACTTGCCGCCAGTCCCCTATGTAACTTAACTCCCCCCTGGGTTCACGCTTACTGGCACTTCCTTGTGGCTCCCGGCACACGGCACATAGGAGCCCTCCCCCACTCGAGCTCACGAGATGTACCGCTGCGTCGTTACACCGTGAAGGCTTGTAGATTGACCTACATATGACAGGCGCCCTGCACACGAGAGGTTTGACTTCATTACGGATACAATAAGGTGATTATGTACGTACTATTATTTTATGGGAAGCACCTTTCACATTGTTATAACATTAATGTATAGATCCTCTTCTGGGAAGTAAACTTTAAGTTCAGATTTCGCCTCATAGTTAAGATTGTGATGTCGTGTTCGTAGTCCCACCCAGTAGTGTCAATTTGTGATTCTTAATACACGTTCAGTTGACCTGAAAGGTTATCCTGCCTCGGAGAGAGTTCAACCATAGACATCCATATGACGGGTGATGGTAAATTTACTTTAATCCACACAGCATAGCATTACACAGCTATTTCTGTCCCGTCTATGAAAATTAAAACGAAACAAGGAAGTATTTACAAGAGAGCCGGCAATAGCGCGTTTGCTGCCATGTCAACACAGGGTAGTACTAAACTTGATAGTTAATAGAATAACAGAGTTTAATACATATGTATAGTGTACGGACATGTATAGAACCAGTGTAGTTCAGCATTCTGAAAAAACACAATATCCAGCAATGTATGAGTTCAAAGGTTACCAATGAGTTATCTCCCTTGTCTATGTCTGTGAAATAAAATGAAGAAAGTGTAAACTGCAAATATTCGAGGAGTTTACACTGCTGTTAATGCGTGTGGCGTTGATAAAAAAAGTCGATGTTGATACAGATGTGTTTCCGGATTGTGAGCCAATTTTGTAAGCACATGCACATCTACATGCACCTGCATGACCTACCTACATCCCTATCGGGAGCGGTCGGGTAGCATAGAGGTTAATGCGTTCGCTCGTCACCCCGAAGACCCGGGTTTGATTCCCGACATGGGAACAATTTGTGAAGCCCATTTCTGATGTCCCCCGCCGTGATATTGCTGGAATTTTGCTAAAAGCGGCGTATAACCATACTCACTCACTCACTACATCCCTATCGCGTTGCATTCTCATAATATACTTACATCATATCATATACGCATACTAGACACATTTCATTCCTTGTGGAGCATTACATGGGAGTCTAATACACTGATATTTTTGATATTTATACCGATATCAACCGTAACGTGGGTTTGCAAACATTTGTTGGTGTTTTTGCAGTGAAAGAAAAGGATGGAAGAGTTTGACTTTGAGGTCCCCCCGGTGCCATCATCTCCACCCAGCAGTCCAAATCCTCCACCTTCCGAAGAGCCTGACTTAGATTGGTGTTTGCGAAGAACGCATGATGTTGCTTTAATATATGCGGAGGACGACCAGGAGGAAGCTTTTAACATATTAACCGAAATGACTGAGGAAACAAACCTTGATGTCCGTCTGCAGACAGACGAGTGTTTTGGCGGAAGTCTTCTTGAGAAACCTGAGAAAATTGCCACACAATGCTGGCTTGTGTTAGTAGTTCAAACACATAATACAACCAACGACATGGTAGCAAAATTCACTAAAGACGAACTAATTGTGAAAATTCGTATCACAGAGGCCAAGGATTATATTCGCCCCCTGTGCACTGAAAAAGGACTTCCAAACTTATCAGGTCTGGCATCTATTGAACCCTTACTTTGGGATCCATCAGCCAAAACGAGAACGAAGAGAAGGATTGAGGACTATATTAAATGGCAAAAGGAACAGGATGTAACATGGCGCATCGAAAATTTGAAACTTGGAGGTAAAGTGCCACACAAATTGATATCATATTTGTCAGAATAAAAACCTATATTCTCCTATATCACTTCCATCAGGTTGCTCTTGACTTGAAACCTTTTAGTCCGAACCCCGCTACTGCCACAAAATCCTGGTTACACGATGGAAACATCAATTTATTGTCATGAGGACAGAGCAACATACTCGAAACGGTGCCGTCCACATGTCTAATTATGTCTATCGGATAATCTACATCTACTTAGAATAGGCAACTATGCTTGTCGTAAGAGGTGACTAACGGGATCGGGTGGTCAGACTCGCTGACTTGTTTGATGCATGTCATCGCATCCCAATTGGGCGGATGGATACTAATGAAGTCAATCACTGGAATATTGCTGAGTGCGATGTTAAACAACAAACAAACATCTACAAGGTATCAGTTTTTATAGGGCCCACGTACACAAAATGATCTGAGCGCTAAGATGATCGTAACTCCCATACTTAGGCTTACTTACGATAGTCTTAGCGCTAAGATCGCTTCGTGCAAGTGGGCACTGATGGTTAATTGCAGATTTCGCATAAATTCCTCAAAGTGGCAAAATGTCCATCGATCTTCTGTTTTGATGGGCGTGATTTTATGGCTGGTTAAACATATGCACAACAATTCATTGGGGGCTCTCGGTTGTTACCTCGCTTTGGGCATTTTATTTCATAATCTCCCCCAATTCATTTTCACATTCCAATCATAATTCATATCCCTCTTCGCAGGCCGGCTACTGCCCCTGCACACACACAGCTCTTTGTCAGGCCGGCTTGCCCCTACAATCAGCTGCTTCCTCACGGTTGTCCAGGCCGGCTTGCCCCTGCAACCAATCTTACAAAACTTATATCATTCATAAGCAACAACCGAGCCAGCTCCCAATTTGTGCCAAGTTTTATAATAAATCGTGTATTTTTACTTCTTGTTTTGTTGTTTCTGCACAAAATGTAAATTTAATATTTTTGTTTGTGCAGAAATAAGTACCACTACCTCCCTGCCTACTCTTACGATTTTATCAGCTATTACCCTTCATTACGTAATATTATTCCACTAAATATTTCTTTAATTCCCTTTTACTCACTTGCCTTATTCCTAAATTAATCCATCAATGCATAATTACTTTAACATTTTCTATGTTAGATCCAAGCACGGTTTACCTCACATCCCGTCTATTTTTTATACGCTGTTTACTTCCGTTGTCTCACAGCTACATAATGTACCTTCACAATTTTATCGTAATCCTAAATATACTTACGTATTCCATCAACTATTATCTTTTTCTTGTATTAATATGTAATCTCAGCATCTATATCTTGTACATTTCTATTAATAATTCGCAGGAACCATTTCTTAAATATTAATTCATGGTGCATCACGGTCTTTATTATTTCCGACATGTTGCGCATGCGTATTCTATGTTCCTTCTCAGTTCTTCGTCCGCCATGTTTCACCAATTTTCTCGGCCCTCCGGCCACCCCATGCTACCTCCTCGGAGTTGTGCCGGCTGTTGCTTAACATTCATACCTCATTCTTTCCTCTTTGGCATTTTATTTCATAATCTCCCCCAATTCATTTTCACATTCCAATCATAATTCATATCCCTCTTCGCAGGCCGGCTACTGCCCCTGCACACACACAGCTCTTTGTCAGGCCGGCTTGCCCCTACAATCAGCTGCTTCCTCACGGTTGTCCAGGCCGGCTTGCCCCTGCAACCAATCTTACAAAACTTATATCATTCATAAGCAACAACCGAGCCAGCTCCCAATTTGTGCCAAGTTTTATAATAAATCGTGTATTTTTACTTCTTGTTTTGTTGTTTCTGCACAAATGCACAACAAATGAAGAGAATTTGATAATACTGGCTTAAAAACGCCTTAAAATCATTTCTGACAACACTCGCTACCAACAGGGTCTTTCGAAACTGGCATGTTAATTGTTGTTTTTCTGTAATGATATTTTTGTGTCTTCCAAGTTCAACATGTGTTGTAAACATGATTTCCCGGTTTTCAATGATCCCTTCACATAATTTACACCACTATATTGCCCGATTTTATACCCAATGGAATCTGGTTTGGCAGATAATAGAGACTGATTATACACATATTTTATTGCAGTATCATAATAAAACAGATGCGCCTGCAACCTAGGCACAGTACCTCTTGGTTGTTTGAGTCGATAGAGACCATTTTGTCATTCCGATAGAATGGAGAAAAAGAAACTTGTATAGTACAGGAATTACTTTATGAGTATTTTCACCAGATTTATGAAATAAACAGTTAAATTTCGTATCGTTAAAATATGTTTCACGAAAACAGATTTGATTCTTTTCAGTATAAGGGAACATTATATTGGTTGACTGATGTAACAAATACATACTTGAAAAGTATTTTGAAATGAACTTTACTTTCTAAAAGAAAATTAAACACCATTCACGAGTGTATATTAGTGGAAGAACAAATATTTCATTTTCGGAAATATTATATTAATATTAACTGTTATATTTGCTACTTGATTGCAGCTCAGGTGAAACTCTGTGACCCTAATGACGTGAAAACAAAACGCCTCTCAAACGTAAGTACTTTACACCTGTAACTGTTACTCGGTCCTGTCGAGCCTCTTGTTTACACTATAATGACATGATTTTTTTCTTGTAATGTAATAGTCCATGATCGCCCAGATAAGTCAAGATAGATATATACCACAATCCATGTATGAGTGAGTGTGTTTGGTTTAACGTCGCTTTCAACAGTATTCCGGTTTCTGCGTTTAACTTTCATTTGGAAGGAAATCCAAACAGATGCAGGACTCAGACGTTTACCAATATGGTGAAACCCATGAGCACGGGTAATATGACCCATACTGCATATACAGGAATGTATATATACAAATAACTTTAGGACAAGTCAACCCGGCATGCGACGACCTATACGATTTAACCACATTTCTTTTGCCCTTACAAAATCTTTAAACATAATGGAAACACATAATGGTTGCTTCTTCATGTTGTTATTTACAGGTTTATGACATGAGTGGCGATAAAAAAGGGCTCCTGTTCATCATCAACAACTACGAATTTACAGATTCCAAAAAATATTCCAACAGAGATAGCAGTTGTAAAGACGCAGAGTCTCTGAAAACATTGTTTGAGAAGTTTGGATTTAAAGTTGAAACGGAGAACAATCTGACAGCTCAGGTACTGCTTTGAGTTTATAGTTTTATTGAGAGATGGATACATAATTTATTGCGTTCATATACATTTATTGCGTTCATGTATCACCGGTCACAAATCTCACATGTGCATAATGAGTGATCTTATGCAAAAATACTGTTAACACTACGATATACGAGCCTTCTGTTTCAACATTTAAAACCAATGAAGAAGCCATTTCCTAACGGTAACATTGACACGTGGTACTCTTTTGGGTTTATCACATTAATGCCTGACCTAGAGCAACATTAAATAGAGATATATAGAATGAACTGTTAATTAGGCCATTTCAAACGTTCTCTCGAAACCTTCCTCTTCACAAGTTGAGTTTGATAATGAAATGTAAAAAAAACAGAACAGACATTTGGTAAACCTTATATTGCAGGTCAACGACTAGCTCATAGTTTGACCATGTTTTAGAATTCAGCCTTTAAGTATATAATTTGATTACATATTCATTAGGTGTCTAAAACTTTGAAATTTGTTTTTTCTAGTTGATGAACTGTTTGCTGTGCACAGTTTGTGACAAAACCACGTTAATAGTGCTCCCTCTTTTCAGGGCATAATGGACAAATTTGTGCAACAAGTCGAAGCATTTGAACAGAAGGGCTATCGCTGCTTTGCTACTGCCATTTTATCACATGGCATAAAAGGTGGCGTAATCGGCATAGATGGCAAATTTGTGTCTATGGGAAAAATCAAGAATATCTTTTTGGATGAACACTTGATACTTCACAAGGAAAAACCGAAGCTGTTCTTTATTCAAGCTTGTCAGGAAGGCATGTGAGATACAAATATATCATTGTGAATCCTTTATTGCAACAATGCATTGATAATAACCCCTCCATACAATCAAGATAATTAGTCATGTTGGACACCGGAAAACAATGGATCGGTTGAAAAATAAGAAAACACTAATTTCTTTCTTTCTCAGATCCGACTTCGCCCGATGTGACGCCTGACAAACCAGGCAAATTACCTCAGGAAGGCGAGTGAGCTACAAATCTATAATTGTGAATCCCTAATTGCAATAATGTATGATATTAACCCCTCTATACAATTAAGATAATTTGTCATAATTGACATCTGAAAATAAAGGAACCGTTGAAATATATAAAAACAGTAATTTCTTTCTCTCTCAGATCCGACTTCGCCCGATGTGACGCCTGACAAACCAGGCAAATTACCTCAGGAAGGCGAGTGAGCTACAAATCTATAATTGTGAATCCCTAATTGCAATAATGTATGATATTAACCCCTCTATACAATTAAGATAATTTGTCATAATTGACATCTGAAAATAAAGGAACCGTTGAAATATATAAAAACAGTAATTTCTTTTTTCTCAGGTCCGGCTTTGCACGCGTTGACTACTGGCAAACAACCCAAATTACACCCAGAAGCGAACTTTTACTGGACCTCAGCAACCGTGCCTGGTATATCCAATCATGGCTACCCATGATTTTGTAATTTCATTTGAAGGAGTGCCTGAAGGAGTTTGGTTTACGCCATGTTCACATATAGTACACTTGGTTCCTCCTGTGAACACTTCAGCACTGACAAGTACTATAAATTCATCCTCTCATTTCAAATATCCAACAGTCCTCCCTGCCACTGGTCTTATGTACGATTATTCAGGTTTTTGTACGAATGCTGTCTGGACGCGGCGTTCCAACCTCTTACTCATATTCATATTCTCACGTAAATATTAAGAATGCTACTCTTGATATTTTCAGAGCCCTCTTAGAAATATATCAACGGTACCTGTAGTGCAGGACGTGCTTACCCTTTCCGGGACACCTGGTTTCATCACTGATTTTCAATGTTCATATATAATAGCACTATTTGGTTATGATTTGTATCACGTAAATGTAGTATCACGAACGTGTGACTGTCACGCCTGCACATGTAGATGTAAGTCAGTGTACACACACAGAAGGATGCAACTATCACGTTTCTGTTATAGGTTACGTGGCAGTGAGGGATGAAAATGATGGATCGTATTTCATTGAATGTCTTGTGAATGTATTCACAAAGTATGCCCATCAATACGATTTGGACAACTTGATGTCTAAAGTGAGTCTGACTTTTAAATATATGAGTTTATCTGTATTGATAAGGGAGCCATACAAATCTAACTTACATCAAAACATACGCTTCTACGCTTCCAAAACATACGCTCAGAAAGACCAGGTACCCTGCGTGGTTGATTTGCTATGTGATTGGCCGTTTGTCCCAGATTTCATAGGGAATAAGTCCTGATGATTGGCCGTCTGTTTCTTTCTTTGTTGTTAAACGCCGCACTCAGCAATATTAAAGCTTTATGGCGATGAAAGAATTTAGAACAGGTTTTGCGGAAAAAGGGCATCCTGCTTGGGGTGGATCGTCATGATTAACGCTTTGTGTTCGGCGAAATCTGTTCCCCAAATAACAATTTGTTAGTCATATTGCAGACGTCACATTGTTTATGAGACCACAAACGATGAATGAGGAGGTGTGAGGTTTATACACTTAGGTCGGATATATTCAAGAAATGTCTGCATTATTCACTTTCATCAAAAAAGTTAAATCCACAATGCATCCCAATACACGTTCAAATCATAGTATCTATGACTAAGTAACCATGTATTAGTTCTATTTATAGATTGCAACCTTTGTCGTATCTAAGGAAAATAGTGAGCCATTTCCCTATATAATATAATATAATGTCAAAGGATAATGTGCCTTTAAATTTGTAGGTTGCATACAACGTTGAGCGCCTGACATCAAGGGATCACAATCCTCAGATCATCGAGAGAAAATCAACCTTACTAAAGCAGCTGTTCTTCTTTCCAGGGATTTAGGGACATATCTGAAATCAAGAAATTTAGGTAATTGAACATTAGGATATAAAGCTTTACGCTTCATGAATTCACCACACATATTAAGATTGTCATTTGATACAGACGATCTTTTATTTGAGATAAACCCATTATCAGCAATAATAATAATAATAAATGAAAATGTGTTGAAAGCAGAAAAACATCAATTTCATAAACTGACTGTTTGAGCATGGTTTTACCACGACGTCTGACTAGGGATTCAATTGTGACTATATGGGGTTCGGGAGCCGGGTCTTCTGGGTGACGAGGTAAAGCTTTAACCAATCTGTCCTACTAGGAAGTGTCTTGTCGTTTGATATCACATATGTCAACAAGCGTTGACTACAGAAGCAAGCTCCCAGGGTTGCCAACGTAGTTTAAATGCTTCATTCTTTGAGAGTTGCGGTATTTGATATCCAATTGGACTTAGGGACCAACCATTTGATATTTTGGAGGAGGCCTAGGATTTTGTATGAAGAGTAGATATTGTTTCAGGAACAGCTGCAAAAAATAGATATTTTTTAACTGTGAGCCTAAACATATTTTGGAAAAAGAACCACATGAAAATAAAATATTTTCTGCGCCTGACTGTATTATTTAAAACATTCCAAAGCACACTTATTTATTTCAAGCCTTTTCTGGGACAATATTTGTTTAAAACATGCAGGAAACACAAATACCAAATGGTCGGTCTCTGAGTGTATTATTGTCCATTACCATTCTGAGTACATAATTTTGAAATAATTTTTTTTATTTCAAGAGTTCATCAGTTGACGTTAACTGTCATTCCTTAGTGACAGTACGTCAGAACTTTGCTACTGTTATAAGGTTAAAATGCATTGGAAAGCATCCAGCTTGTCAGTTTTGTATATTTAAAATTCGTTCACTGTGCGCTGGAACTGGATGAATTCGATAAAGACATGAGAATTCATAATTGTGAGAAAAAAAAACTGTTTCAGAATTATATCCACCTTATCGTTAACTTCTATCGGAATTTTTCAATTTATCAATATTAAAACAATTTGAAAGTGTATACAACCTCTTCTAGAGGTTTCAGCTTTCACTACAAACACGAAAACGTCGTTTTTTCCGTATATGGTCATTGGACGGAAAAAACGACGAAAAAATCATTAAAATTGATTAATTGGTGAGCGTCTAGAAAGTGTCCGGAAAAGCGTCGAGTTTTTCAAGCGATGCCTTTTGCTCCGCCTTGTTGACTTCTCTGTCTAGATCTCTCCGTCCGTCTGTCCGTCTGTCCGGCCGTAATCATGTCCTTTTACAGGGCAGAACTCGAAACAATTCAGTGTATTTGATCGCAACTTGGCATATCTATCAGTCACATACTGAAGTTGTGCCTTTTGCTATTTAGTAAACTTAAGAGATTTTATTTTTTAAGTTTCCATGGTAACAAGTTGGACCTAGGTTCTATAAGGGTTGTGTTCGTTTCCGGAGCGTAACTCAAAAACCGTTAAATACTTTCTAACAAAACTTTGCATGTCTACCAGGCACATACTGAACTGGTACCTTTTGCCATTTAGGAATTTAAGTTATTTATTTCTTTTTTACGTTTCAACAAGTTGGACTTAGGTTCTATAGGGTAGAGTTCGTTTCCGGAGCATAACTCAAAACCCCTTCAAAACTCCCTAACACCACTTTGCATGTCTATCAGACTCATGCTGAACTGGTGCCTTTTGCTATTTAGGAATTTTAGAATTTTTTATTTTTTTCGTTTCCACTGCAACAAGTTGGACTAAGGTTCTATAGGGTAGAGTTCGTTTCCGGAGCATAACTCAAAACCCCTTCAAAACTCCCTAACACCACTTTGCATGTCTATCAGACTCATGCTGAACTGGTGCCTTTTGCTATTTAGGAATTTTAGAATTTTTTATTCTTTACGTTTCCATTGCAACAAGTTGGACTTAGGTTCTATAGGGTAGAGTTCGTTTCCGGAGCATAACTCAAAACCCCTTCAAAACTCCCTAACACCACTTTGCATGTCTATCAGACTCATGCTGAACTGGTGCCTTTTGCTATTTAGGAATTTTAGAATTTTTTATTTTTTTCGTTTCCACTGCAACAAGTTGGACTTAGGTTCTATAGGGGTGGTGTTCGTTTCCGGAGAGAAACTCAAAACTCATTCAAAACCCATAAAAAATCTAAATTATCTTTTCAATTTGATTCTTAACCAATTGAAATTGTAGATAATTATACGTATCTAGGTATCAACTTCATCGCAATAGGAGATTTAATAACGCAATAAACGATTTACTGTCCAGCTCTAAAAAGGCTATGTTTGCACTCCTGAAAAAAATCAAGAAACCTCAGTCTAGCACTTGATACTGTAATCCAATTGTTTGATATCTTAATACTACCTATAGCCTTGTATGGATGTGAAATATGGGGTTGTGAAAATGTTATAAACATTGAAAAAATTCACCTTAAATTTCTAAAGTTTGCTGCTGGGTTGCAATCATCAACTCCTAACTTTATGGTTTACAGTGAACTTGGACGTTTTCCTGTGATTATTACAATTGCTAAAAGAATGATGTCATTTTGGTATTATTTAGAAACCATATCTTCTCCTTTCAAGTTGTCATCACATATCCTTAAACTGTTCACATTAGATCACACCCTCATTACTAGTAATAGTAACGTATGGATATCTCACATAAAAGTATTTTAAACAGTTGTAGCTTGAACTATGTATTTGATAATCCTGGTTGCGTTTGTAAACAGTGGCTTGTCTCTATGGTAGAAACAGTACTTAACGATAATTTTATACAATGGAGGGATGATATAGATTAAATTTCAAAAGGTAATTACTATAAATTGTTCAAAGATCTACCGTCGTTTGAAAAATACCTCCTGCTACCTGATTATTTCTCTCGACCTATTATGTCATTTCAGACATCGAATCATTATTTACCTGTAGAGACAGGCCGCTGGAAAAATATACCCAGAATCAATAGAAATTGTAACCTATGTAGCTCACCGGCGATAGCCGACGGGTTTCATTATTTTTTTAAATGCTCCTTTTTTGATACAATGAGATCACATTATATTCCAATTTATCTTTGTGAATGGCCGAATCTCGCAAAGTTCAAAGTTGTGTTTACCTCAAATAATTGCTTAATCATGAAAAATATCTCCAAATTTATAAGAATTATTTATAATGCTGCCAGGAGATGAGTACAACACTATTATCTACAACTTACCAAGTGATCACTACATTTGATTGTTTGTGTTATAACTTAATTTGTATTGTTCCTGTACCACCTATGGTGGTTTGTTGGAATAAAACATTGATTGATTGATTGAAAAGTAATGAGTGTTTGTCTTTAGTATAACCATTCAAATACGTAGAATAAACATTCAAATACGTAGCATAAACATTGCAAGACATTGCATTTCTGGAGACATATTTCAAAAGTTCATGCGTGGCCCCAGATGGCTCACTGAGTGTAAAACGTCCGGTACTATAGCGTCCGGGCAACGTCGGGGAGCATCTGGTGAGAGCGTCCGGGAGAAATGATACTAAATAATAAAGTTTAAAATTGAGTTCTTGTATTAATTATAATAAAGTGTCGTTAATGAGGGTGCCCATCTCCTCCTTCCTTGAATCACGAATACCGTCTAATTTCTCACGTTGCTCACCTCTGAATCCTGAATACTATCTAATACTACTTAAACAAATATCGAAAAAATAACATATAGCAAGAAACTAATTACATGCACCACTATTCTTTTTAAATGGTGAATCAGCGTACCAAATACGATTTTAGGAATTGTTGTAATAACAACATTAAGAGGGTCGATTCTCACATCTCATGTCATCTCCACGTTTCTCTAGGAATTGTTGTAATAACATTAAGCGGGTTAATTCTCACATCTCATGTCATCTCTACGTTTCTCTATGAATTGTTATTATAACATTAAGAGGGTCGATTCTCACATCTCAACTCCGTGAGAAACACGTACAACATAAATACTTCTATTCTAAACTTACTGTAGCACCTGTGGCCACCTGCACACACTGGCATAACAGGCAACCAACTAGCGGACACAGCAGCAAAATTAGCCACTACCCAACCATCACCAAGCATAAATTTCACCACCAGTAAAGCCGAGATCAAATCACTAATTAGAAAGAACACATTATCTCAAAATTTCAAAAATAATATTCAAAATTGTAAGACAACCTTGACAAAATCCTTCTTCAATAAACCAGTCACAAAGTGCCGCAACTTTGCAAAGTCTATTTTAACAGGAAAAAATCATAAACAGAATGCTAAGCAGCCAAACTAATCTAAACGAAACTCTCTATAAACAAAACAGACACCCACACCCAAACTGCATCCACTGCAATACACCTGAAACCCTAGATAATATATTCAACCATTGCTCACAATATAAACAACAACAAACACAATTATACAACTCTCTTCCCCCCAAGCTCAAAAACAACATTACACTGCTTGTAAACCCCTTTAACCATCCCGCTAAATTCTCCCATATAGCCACATTCCTTAAAACAACAAATCTCATAAGCAAATTTTAGAAAAATCCCAACAAATTACAGCCTAACTACTATATACAAAATCCACACTTTTACAATTTAGGATCGGGATCCAAATTCTCAGCGCGGACCGACTTCTCCGACGTATCCATTCGCCCATATCCATACACTAATAACCATGACCGTTTAACCAGCCACCAACCCAAGCCCAGCTCCCACGCTCACGGCCAAGACTCCCCCTCCCCCCCCCCCCCCCCCCCCCCCGCCCCCATCCTGACTCCCCTACCCCAGCCAGTAAGCCCAAATTTTTATAATAGGTTTTCCCATCCACCCCACCGTTATTTTTAAGTTTATAGTATATATTATTATCTAGCATATCAGCTTAACTGATTTTATACCATTTTAAGGCTATACACGAGTTACTTCCCTTAGACTAGGTTTCTTACAGCTCGAAAAACACTACTGCTAAACTTCTCTCTCCCCTTCATCCTCCTTTACTGTATTTCTTTCTTCTTTATCCCCCCTAATTTACATTTTTTTGGGGCCAGCCGATTACTTACTTATTTTCCACTATTGTTTATTATTGTTTAACCCGTCTGGCCCTGACTGCGAAATAGCCGATGGCTGAAGCGGTCGTAAAATCTCCTAATACTACTACTACTTACTGTAGCATTACAATCTGAAACTGCTATCAGAAAGAGTAATAATTCGCAATAATGGAATTTCGTAGAAACCGACAACCTCGATAATGGGATTGTTTCGTTGTGGAAGAGAAATCCACCAGGACAATCAGCAACCTTTGCCGGGTGTGCAACCGTGGTTGTCGTAAGGGCGTGTTTGGTGAGCAGTGCAAGGCGTTGCACCACCCTAAGTGCGAGGGACTCACAGATGAGAGGTTCGAAGAATTGTCTCCCAGCAATGGGGAGTATTGCTGAACATCGTGCAGATTCAACTACAGTGCTGTACTGGACAGACTTGAGGAAGCTGCATCCCTCGGTAAGTTGAAACCCCGACTCTTTGCACGTTTTTGTTGTTGATTTAGATAGTTCGTTTTAATTAAACATCTTTGTGCAGAACAATAATAATATATAACACTATGCAAGATCTACACTCCGATAAACTACTTAGTTTTTAATTTAGATGTTAGTTTTGGAATACAGTTTTATATGGAAAGTATTTTATGACGTCGGAGAGAATCAAGCAATACGCAATTCATCAAACCACCAATTTGTTATAATAACATTAATGAATGGTGTCGGTTAATCCAATTACTGCCACTACTCACTACTTAGTATAGAGTATATACTAACCCTTGCGAACACAATCTGCAATCGCCTAAACCTTGCGTTGTTTTTGTTATTTTAAAGGTATTGAGAGTCTCATTACGGAAGTCCAAGCCCTGGTTTCCATTTTGCCTGAACTGACCGTAAATAAACAAACCGAACAGCGTGACCACAAGTTCTGTTGATGAGATTGCTGCGTCAATTATTCAACAGTACGGTGGTAAGATGCCGGAGAGTCCACTGAAGGTGACAGGAAACGGCAACTGTCTGTTCAACGCTGTCAGTATTGGTGTCTTTGGGTCAGAAATCAGAGCCACAGAACTGCAAGTGAGGACATGTATTGAAATGACACTGAATGCTCCATACTACACTGAATTATCAGACAACAGGCGTCTGACTCTTGTCAGTACAGACTACACAAGCGCTACCCTGGAATGTGCAAAGGATAAGTCACACTCCGGTTGGACTGTCCACGCTGTGGCTTCTGTTGTTGGAAGAAACATTATCTCGTGTTATCCCCCAATCAATGGCATGATGGATCAGTCTCTTGCTATCCTCAACCGTACATTTGAATCTCGCAGGACATCTTCCGCCAAGCCCATTAAAATACCTTGGAGTTGTACCACACCACCCCCTGCATCGGAACTCGACAGGATTCGGTTACCTAACCACTTTGTCCTACTTAGTGAGCAAATTCAACCCCCGATGAAAAAGAGGAAATGGGCTACAGTGGGACTACCAGATATTACCGTAAGTGTCTCAACTATTTGTATGTATTATATTTCTCTTTTTAAATTATTTATAGATGCGTTCTTAAATGCAAAAAATGTTGTATAACGTCGGTTATAACAGGCAACAATATAACATTAACACTTTAGAGCTATTATTCCGACAAGACCAATAAATAAATAGATAATAACAACTAATTAAGAGGCTAGGAAAGGATCATCGATCGTAGTCATTTTTAAACAACTTCAACAGGCGATGAATACTTTACACATTGCCCTTGAAGAGATGACAAGTGCATAATTGTAACATTCCAATGAGATCATATTATATGGCATTCTGTCATATTCCTACATCTTTTCCTGATAGTATTATATTTCACTTATGTTCCAGATCAGTAACTGCCTCTTAGATCAAGGCGACGGTAGCAGTGGTGAAAGAACTCGATGCGACAGAGACCAGGGATGCTGTCATCACCACCTTGCCTACACCATCAGTGAGGCCTCCTAAGACTGTAAGTGCTGATTCTGATTTTAATTTAAACTGTAATATTTGAGATCAGAGGTGAGATATGGTTAGTGATTTTTCGACCAAAATATTTAATGGTCATTATCTCTTTGCAGATGAAGCGTAAAGAACATTTCCAAAAGGAGAAGAAGCTTCGTCACGACGACAAGACACAAACCGCCTCAACCCCTGAGAAAAACGTATGTCACTCATAGACATGTATCAGCTGTATGTCCAGTTAAACCATATATTTATGCTATATACTAATTGCTTCATTTCGGATACGTCTTGTAAGTTTTATCAATATACTGTTTGTTAGCAGAAGAAACCAGAAACGTCTTCTCCGGTTTTCAGCGAAACCCCGATTGAAATGGATATCAGCCAAATAAAGGTACAATGATCTTACAAATTATTATGTCAAAATGTTGATTAGATAATGAAAAGTACGCCAATTATTGCCTTAATATGAATTAAGTTGCCTCATAGTAGTGTATAGACAAACCATCGAATGACAAGATTATTCATTTTACAGGACGTGAACTGCATGGATCGATGCTCATGATATTAATCACTGGATTGTCTGGTCATACGTACGTGTGGCTTATGTCAGGGATATCTCTCTCATGTGATTGTTTCAGCATACAGCCAACGATACATCAGTCGAGATAATAGCGCCTCCTGTGTCCACCATGGAGGATTCATCTCTCACTCCAAGTAAAGATGAGCTGTCCCTACAGGATTCATCATCAAGTGTCCGTGGTTCCCTATCCAACAGTGGAAGGTTCATGGACGTACCGGAGTTGTTTCAGACAATAATCAATGCAAAAAACATTCAGTCAGAGATTCCTGTAGGAACAAGTGCAAAAGTGAGCGTGGCTCACAAATACCCCCGACCCGCCTAGTGTGTCAGTAGTTACAAATTAAATAGCTAGGATAGGGTAAGGCAGGGTTCCCCCTAGACTCCAATATCTGAGTCACCTTGACTCAGCCTATGAATTTTTGGGAGTCAAAAATAGTTTTTGAGAGTCAAATGTTTTATTGTATGATTAATGAAATTTAAAGTGTTCACTTTAATGTTACACTTAAAGCTAAGTATCTTTTAAATATTATATGTCTTTAGTTTAAGTTAACAAGTGCTAATTAATGTTCTCAGCTGATTGTACAACAGAGAAATAAAGGATATATGAATGAAAAACAAAGTTTGTTGGTTTTATTTTTTCACAATCTTTAATTACTTCACAGCTCATGAAACAATTTACAGTGACACTAATACAGGATGAATAAATAACATCAGTCTCAACTGTGAGACATCTATTTTTAATCATGGATGGATATTTAAATACATTTCATGTCAGATTATAATTTAATACCACTTACTCATTTATATCTTTTATCTAGTTATCTTGTATTATCTATCAACAGTGAAGATGAACTGAAGAATTGTGAACACTCGTAATATTTTCTGGTTGAATACAGTTTATTAGCAACAACAAACACGCCCAAAGCTTTACATTTCGTATAAAACCATATTTATTCGTGTATAATACACACTCGTGTATAATACGCACCCCTAATTATGGGCAATTAAATCCTCTCGTGTATAATACGCACAGACTTTTCTTCAGTCTCATTTCAGGCTGTCATGATCCGTCATCGGAAATAGCATAACAAATCCGAATTGAATTATGCAAGTTAATCCTATTGTTACACTATCTGGTAATAAAAATGTGTTCTCTGTATATCTGACCTTATGTTTGTCATCTTTTTTATTAATTTTATTTAAAATTTCATTCAATAATGTTTACCTAAATTTCGGCAAAAACATGTGTCCCTTCGATACTTACAACTTCCGTTTACCCCGTTCCATAGGTTCCGCTTAACCATATACTGTGACCGCGCCAAATCACATTATTCTCCGCAACAATTATAATATTTGCTTCTGTTTCATATTTTACGAGTCTACACATCTAGATAAACATGTGTCATGGTTTACTTTTAGTGAGAAAATATGCCGAAACGTGAAAAACCTTGTCCATTTGCGGAGTTTTCCTTTGTTTACATCACGTGTTGTCATCGAAGCCACACGGAGTGTGAGAGTTACATTCACTTTGATGAATAAATATATTTTGTCGTGTACCTCACAGTCGCACAGTTTTAGTAGCATATCTATATAATTATGCAAAACAATATGTAAAGCACCCGGCTGTTCTGATTTTAGCGTTTGTTTTAAAACGAGAGAAAAGTCTGGTCATGTGACAGGCTATGCAAATTAGCCCGTGGCAGTGGTGCTATGCGAAGTTATGTTACTTCTAAAAACGACGATTAATTAAAAACTAGACGTAAATTTTAAGATGTTTGCATATATTGTCTTCAGAAAATGTTTATAAATTAAGTTCAGGTAAGTAGTTGTAATATTTTCATTCCAAAGCTGGTAAACAACAACATAGATATTTATTTCTGGACGTATTTTTTTCCTTAATTGAGAGTAATATACGCAAGAATTCTGCGTCAGGGGAAACCCTGGTTAGGGTTTGAAAAATTAATAAAAAATGAAAATATTAATAAAAACATTTTTTTTCTTTTGACTGCATCCCTCTATATGACACAGATTATATGTACTAAGTTGAATCCACTCAATAATCCACTCAATAGTTTAAGAGACATTGCGCGGACAAAGTTTTCGGACGGACGGACGGACCGTACGGAACCTTTGTATAACTATATACCCCCGACATTTTGTCATACTTAGAGCAAATGGAAGGACTGTATTGTTTAATGAAAAAAAGTATGAGAGTACCGATGGCAATTCAGCCGCCAAATATCGAAGTCCTAATTGTTAAACGCTATTATAACAAACTGAAACGATGTGCCGACTATCATAAGCGGAAGGCTTGGATTGAACAGTTCCCCACCGGCCACACTCCTGTTCATCCATCAGTAGCTATTGTCGAATACACTGGCAAGTTTCCCGAGGTAGGCCTATTTATTGTGTGTAAAGGTTGCAAATCTCTGTAATAATTTTGTCAAAAATGAAATATAAATATAAATATTCTAAATAGTAGTCTTCCAGTCAATAACTGCTCAAATGCGCTTCTGTTTTCCCCGGATCAAACGATCTGTATGCGTTCATTGTCGTCAGTCTGAACTCCCTGGGAATTATAGAATCCAAGCTGTATACTCATGCTGCTGAGAGTTAACATTACAGGTTCGCTCAAATCGTTTTATTTCAATTTTACAGTCATGTGCCATTCACGGAAATTCAAAAAGTCTACCGCCGAGTTTGAGGATGCCCGACACTGTCATTGAGCAGATAAGAGAAGAGGTGATGACACAACCAGCACGAGATGTATACAATAAGCACCTGCAGCAGGAAGAACAATTAGCTGCCAGAGATCTGAAACAAGTACAACTTTTTAAACAGTCGGTGAGAAAAGACAAGGGCACCAAGCGACAGAACACTGCAGACGACCTTATCAGCATCATTAACGTAATTCACACCAACGAGTTTTTTCAAGAGATTATTCAGTGTAAAGGAAAACCGCCGTCATTAATTTTATACACACAGGATCAAATTAAGGAATTAAAACAGTTCTGTACAAGTGCCTCAGAAAAAACAGTTGTAGTTGGGAGTTGACAGGACGTTCAATTTAGGGGCCCGTTTTGTGACTTTATTAGTGTTTCAACTTCCGAACTACACAGAAAAGGTACAGAGACCCACCCAATAATGCTAGGCCCCCTTTATCTTCACTGGGATGGGTCATACATGTACCTAACATATCACAGGTTTTTTTCACATATCCAGGCACTTCTAGTTTTTAATCTTGAGGACACAAGGGAAACAACTGGTAATTGGATCTGATGAAGAAAGGGGCTTGATTAAGGCCCTCCGAAACTGTTTCCCCGCTTCCACACACATTTTATGTGAACGGCACATAGAGCAAAATATAAAAAGACACCTTCGACATCAGGCTGGCGCTTCAGATCAACAGACACGACTCATTCACCAGAAAAACTGTTGGACCCTCCGGACTGGTGAAGAGCCATGACTCCTATTAGTTCGAACTAAATCAAATGGAACTAGAAGACATTGTTTCAACAACTGATCCCGATTCCTTTTCCTATCTTTCTAAAGTCATTGAAACTATAAAAACTGACATTTTCCTGCCTTCAAAAGAAAGACCAAAAGCAGTTCCGTTACATTGGACTAATAATGCCTGCGAGAGCCTGAACAACATCATCAAATTAAGTACCAATTGGAAATCATTGAAAATCCCGGATTTAACTGACAAACTTCACACAATTGTAAAAATCCAGTATGCTGACATGCGCCGTGCCCTCTACGGCCAAGGCAACTACCAACTGACACCGTGGATGGCAGGCTTTAAATTGTCTAATGCCTGCTGGACATCAAAAAGCCAACAGGAGAAAGACAGACATTTTCGGAAGTTCCTGCGTGGCCCCAGATATTAAAAAAGCATTACTGTTTCGTCGGATGGTCGCCTCAACATTCCCAAGACACCACAGACAGCCCGAAAACCAGAACAAAGAAAGAGGATTAAAACAGCAAAGACGTTCACTTCCTAAGAAAGTAGTATTTTCAACCAAATAATTCATGTACTGTAGGAAAGTAGGATAGATAGATATGATGAACATTGATTATCATTTATTAAACATCTAAGTATAAGTATATATAAGTACGTGGGTTAAAATTGGTCTTCAGCAACCCATGCTTGCCATAAAACGCGACTATGCTTGTCGTAAAAGGCGACTAACGGGATCGGGTGGTCAGGCTCGCTGACTTGGTTGATGCATGTCATCGTATCCCAATTGCGTGGATCGATGCTCATGATGTCAATCACTGGATTGTCTGGTCCAGACTCGATTTTTTACAGACCGCCGTCATGTAGCTGGAATATTGCTGACTGTGGCGTTAAATAACAAACAAACAAACATTTTTTACATTGTCTGTTTTTACTTTTACGTCCGCCTTGTTTGATAAAGAACAAAACCTTTACGGCCTATTAAATATTTTTTACCCTGTTACTTGTACTCATTTTTGTTTGTTTTTATTTTTTTATTCTATTTATTTGTACGCCAGTTGATATTCTCACGATCTTACCAAACACAGAGAAAGACATGTTTTATTGACTGAACTGTATTTTCAAATTCCCGGACGTCTGATGAAACCTCCCGGACGTTTCGGACGTTTGATGAAACCTCCCGGACGCCCCCGGACGTCACGGGCGTCCCCGAACGTTAAATAGTAGGACTCCCGATAGACGCTGTTGCTGGATTGACAATGCCAATCAAGAAAGGGAGGAGCTTGATGATAAGCTTGATGATATCGTTCTCTCCCAGTCAATTCCGATGTCAAATAATGACGTTATTTGGACGGAAAACGATGGTTTGAAAGCGTCCAAATAATGTCGTTTTCCCGTCCAATGACAATAAACAAAAAAAACCCGACGTTTTCGTGTTTGCAGTGTTTTAAGATCCAACATTAATTAATTGGTGATAAAGTTTTTATAAAATCCGTAGAAAGGACAAAGAATTTCAAGTTGATTTCAGCCTTTTTTCACAACGTTGGAAATGGCACAGGTTATTTCTGATATTTGAAATCATACATCAAAGTTTCTTATTCAACAAGTATTCATTACTTATTGATTAATTCAAATCCCAACGCAATGAATCCATGTTTCTGGATGAATTTAGATACGTTGGCTAAAATGGTTTCAACTAAAACGGTTCTACCCTCCGCTTCAGGATTTTTGTATCTCTGACATAACCCATATGGTGGGCACCATCCTATCCATTAGGTAAAGAACCAGCGTAACCTCTCACCCCGCCGTCTGGCAGGTGAGGGACGGTTGCGACATTTCCCTTTTTCAAGATGGTTATTCATGCACGTAATATTTAGTCAAGAACTGCTTTTATTTCAACACCGTTTACGGACCAGTCATTTGCCAGCGTTCAAAATCTTGGCTGGTAAGGTACAGCGAGTATATAAGAATACAAAATTATTTCGATTTTGAATATATTATTATCCGTTAAATGCTCCATGTTTAAAGTTAATGCTGTATCCTATTATATGTTGAAAGAAAGCAACATCTTCTCCTCCTTTACAATTAGTGAATTTCAAGGGGAATGTTTATTCCTTCTTACTAATTACGTACTATTTATTGCTGCGACAATAATGTATTTATTAATTGTCTGCAGAGACAATACTTGTATTCGGATTGGTTAGGTTGGTTTATTGTTAAACGCCGCACTCAGCAATATTCCAGCTTTTTGACGGCGGTCTGTAAATAATCGCGTCTGGACCAGACAATCCAGTGATTAATACCATGAGCATCGATCCACGCAATTGGGATCAATGACATGCATCAACCAAGTCAGCGAGTCTGACCACCCGATCCCGTTAGTCGCCTTTTACGACAAGCATAGTCACCTTTTACGGCAAGCATGGGTTGCTGAAGACCTATTCTATCCCGAAATATTCACGGGTCTTGTATTCGGAATTCATGTCTCATATTATACTTGATACAGTTAATTATGCTACATTACATTACTCTCCTATTGAAATTCCTTATCGTCAATAGTACTTGCAATGTTCTATAACTATCCGTGTGTCAATTTATGCCCTCAGTCCATCACACACACACACACACACACACACATTATATATATATATACTCGTCTAAGCACAGTCAAGTTCTAACCTTAAGCCCAATATAGTAATGATTAAATAAGTGGAGTAAGCTTATATTTATAATTTAGCTTATATGGCGGGGAAACTAAAACGTTACCGCTTCCACATGTATCTAAATGATGTTCACTGAGTGGAATCGTGCGGTTGTGTGGCTGCTTTATTTGTGAACGGTGAAGATTCATTCTTCTTTTTAATTTAAGTTCTGTCTTTCCGATATAATTTTCATTGCATCCACTTCAAACAATAAAGTAAATAACATTTCTTGTGTCTCAAGTCATATTTTGTTTTACAGTAAATTTAGTGTCCTTTGTAAACTGTACTGCACAGCCTTCAATTATACTGCTGCAAGTAAGGCAACGTTTGTCGCCGTACTTAGAAACCTGTGGAGTGATGACAACATTGAGTGAGTGAGTTTGATTTTCCGCCGCTTTTAGCAATATTCCAGCAATATCACGTCTGATGATAACAGAATCAAATTTAGAACTCGTCAAAATCTTTCTAAGATTTTAGGGATTTCTTTGGCTGTTGATACTTTTGTATTTGCTCAATATCTTCTCCATTTTAATACTTTGATTCAAAATAGTTAGGTATCGTTGAACCATGGACAATGTTTTTGACACTATAAATAAATAATTCCCCATTTTGTTTTCTCCAGACTTTTCTCTCAGTTTTAGTTCCTCAATACCAAGAGCCTACATTATTTGAAAAGAGCAACATTTCATTCATAAATACGCGCCTAAGTTAAATGTAACGGCGTAAGTTATTTGTCCATTGTCACCTTGGTATTATGACATCATAGTTCTCCTAAATGTTATGACGTCACGTAACTATATGTTACTACTTCATGTTCGTTTTTAAGTTATGGCCTGATGAGACTCGTACGTGGTGCGAGTTGAAAGCGCTAGTCATTTGAAACTGTGCTCAATCCTACTCCACTTATTTAATTATTACTATAATATATATATATATATATATATATATATATATATATATATATATATATATATATATATATTGTTCGCTCTTCTGCTGTCACCTATAGAGCATATACTGAATATCGTAGCGGGTTCTTACGAAAGTTTGCACATCGGTTGTTTTATTCATAGCTCAATGAATCCCAAAAATTACACAGTCAATGCTCATAATTAAATTCGACAACGAAAACATGCAATAGATAACCAACAATAGTTGTTTATATCAAACCAGTCACAAATTACGAGTTTGATTAGCATTTCAGGTGTAGGAATACATACTGTGGCGTGACATGAATCAGGTGACTATTTAATTTATGCACATATCTTGACACGCCTACAAAGTCTCAACGGAGAGTAGAATCAAAACAAAGTTCATTTGACCTGTCAATCAAGGCAAGAGGCGAGGAGAACTGCAACAGTCAGACTGTAACGAACCGGAAGAAATATGTCCGGGAGAAGGCGGCTGTTTCAAATGACATGGTCAGTTGCCGACAGATTCGAACATTAATTCCCCGAGAACGGGAAGACACAGTTGGAAAAATGCTAGTTCGAAATGAAACCTGAAGACATGAAAGTTGTGGAACCGAGGCGACCGGGAAAAAAAAGTCGAGCGAGCCTGCACGTTTGCTGTTTCCTTCCTTCTCGGCCTTCGGTCCCAAAGGGTTGTTTGGGCAATGAATATGCATGAATTTCGCTAAATGTCCTGTGCATGACCATACACGTGAGCAGAGAAGCTATTCCCTCGACTGTAATATTGGATTCCCCGACATTCAGTTGTAATAAAAATAGTCCGCCTAGGTGGGCGTGGCTTAATTTTTTACATTCATTGGGAAATGAATGCAATAACACGTGACCAATTCAGCTAATCAGAATGCAGGAATTTCAATTAACACAAGGTTGGTTGGTTGTTGGTTTGTTGTTAACACCGCACTCAGGAATATTCCAGGTATATGACGGCGGTCTGTAAATAATCGAGTCTGGACCAGACAATCCGGTTATTGATATCATTAGCATCGATCCACGCATTTGGGATGAGTGACATGCATCCATCAAGTCAGCGAACAGTCAGTGGATATAACGCTGAATGTAGTTTTTGGAAAGCCGCGAAGACTTGTGATGTCTCAAATGAACAGATGTCACAGTTAATGGAATGTACACAGGTGCATGTGCCCATATAAATATTTCAACCAACATGGCTCTACAAGTAAGAACATCAGTTAATACAACAAAGTTCTGTTCTCCGTATACACTGTAGTGTGGAACCAACAGTCTACATTTATCAACATTTTATAAACAAATGCGTATTCCCAAAATTACTTTAAATACTCTAAATTATATTAATCATGTACCTATATCCTGACACGCATTCTGAATGGCCTGCGCCGTTTAGACGCTTCGCCATGCCTTCGAGAAGGGGACGAGCCTTGTTATAGGTTACGAAAACATGCAGGTGGTGCCGAATGATATATTCGTCTGATTCGTAATGTTCAAGTATATTTCATTTATATAACAAGGTACTTGTCCATGTGAGTGAGGCTGCTTGTACTACTCCAATATTATTGACAACCCAATATACCCTGCCACAGTTTAACTTAAATAGCCCACACAGACACATTTTACTGACTCCAAGCTGGCCAGTCCCTGCCTCATCCCCTTAATGCCGAGCGCCAGGCAGGGTAAGAGAACCGTCTTCTGATATGACGCAGTCCGGGATTGAACAGCTGTCAGGGAAGATGTTTTATCCACTTCAACACGGATGCAGCTTGTTGCACATGTGACACCCGTATTACCGGTATAGTATAAGTAAACACTTGACTTGGGGAAGGATGTGATATGCTTATGATGAATTCAGAATTGAACATTGGAATCTGCTTTCAGCAGAGACTTCTTATGCTCATGGAAATGGTCCTGTCGCTTTTATATACGAACGTCAGTATATGATCTTAACGACCTATATATTTAGAAAACATCTGGCATCATCACTATTTGATGGTGCTTCAGGAACACATGTTCGTGATATAGTCGGAATCGTACAATCGACTCTGTAATTGGCAGAGATTTCTTATGAATAAAGCGTTTGTCGCTTTTATTTACATTTTCGTTACTACATACATTAAGTGAGGGGAATTATTTATACTTACACCTCTTATACATCTATCTAATCTAATACCATTTTTTCTGTAAATATATTGTCATGTCCTTCATAAAGGCTGGATAGATTTCACGACGCACAGTCATTTTGTTTACAAGGATATTGAACTTGACATCGAATTCCAGACAAATCAAAAGATCAGGAGAGAGTTCTTAGATTCCACAAAATATTTAGTGTTGTCAGCGCACGACATGTAAGTAGTAATGCTCAATTTCAAGATTGATGGAATATATGGTCAAAGTGTAATGAATGCTACCGGAGGGGCAGGATACGATCACCCTTTGGCGAACACCCCTTATTTGATAGTGATTCATCAAGACATGCTAATGATTCGGTTGAAATCGTACAATGGACTCTGCTTTTAGTGGAGATTTCGTAAAATTATGGAACTGGTTTTTTTCGCGTTTATTTACGAAGGTCAGTTTATAAGCTCAGCGACTTATGTAGGGTTAACTTACATATTCTTAAATACGTAGGTCGGTACACGGTTTAGTGAACCATTTTTACTTTTGTAGCCTTAATCAATCCATCAAACTTAATACAAACACTTATTTATTCGTATAACATGTATATCATTTACGTTTTCATCTCTATCATACATGGTCGTAAGTTTTTCATACTCCTTGTAGATCTTTTCATCTGGACGAGCTTTGATACATATTTCCTCTCTTTTTTCAATACATTCATTAATGAAGATCTTGTATTCAGCAGATGAAACTTTGCCTTCAATTGCTGTTGCCAGGAAAGCACGGATCTTTAGCTCCAAGGCTTGCCATCCTGCGGCTGCCACGTTGTAACGTGTGCTTCTGTCTTCATAATATGACTTCAGAACTTCACTGGCGACAAGAAACACAATGCAACTCGCCAGGATACCTGCAATAACCTGTGCGACAATTGGAGCCTGCTTTATCGATGACACGATTTCTGGTAAATTTTCCTCTACTACTTTTCGACAGATATTTGTGTGTCATGATCCCAACAACAGCAACGACCATCACTTTAATAACTGCAAATAATATATATAAGCATTCATTTGTACTTGAAGTTTTGTAGCACAAGATGGCTGCTCTGCGGCTTCTGACTTCAATTTCTCTTAAAAGCCTAATGCTTTCTCTGATAGCTGTTGCTTCATCTTTACATTGATCTAAATATGGTTTACTGGGTCTGAAACAAAATGAGAAATAGCAACACTTTGTTATCTGTATCAATATAATAAAGCTATGAATACTTTGCTTTGCTGAAAGGCATTGTCCCATTTCCCCGGAGTGAAAGAGCATTATTGTACTGAATGGTTGTTGCGTTTCTTGTCATACCTTGTGCTCACCTCAGCATTTTTCTTGTAGCTTCATCTGTTGTGGAAGATTGACCATGATTACTTTTACCGGGTCTGAAACAGAAGCCACATAACCCAAAATGTTGTTATCTGTATTAGTGTCATAAACTTATTACAGAGTAAAGTGCAATTTGTATTTGAAGTTTTGTAGCTCATGATTGCTGCTCTGCGGCTTCTGACTTCAATATTTCTTAAAATCATAATGCCTCTTTTCTAATAGCTGCTGATCATCTTTACATTGACCGAAATATGCATCACCCGACCCGAAAAGAATTCAAATGCAGCAAAATATTGTTATCTGTATTAGAATCAAGAAACTATTACATGAGTTTTGTGTAAGTTTAATGTTCAATATAAATGCCTGCGTATAAATCATAAGTCATAAACCACATTTTCACAGTGCGGACGAGCATTGCTGTCCTGTATGAATATAGAGTTTCCAGTAACGCATTGTCCTCACCTAATGGTTTCGCTCATCCCTGTTGCTTCATCTTTGCATTGTCTGTGACCGGTATTACCGGATCTGAAGGGAAATCAAATGTATCAAATTTTTCTTAGGAGCGTGTAATGTTGCCATCATTATCGAATTATTAATATCTAGTATACTGTTTCCTTGTTTTCGTTGCGCCATATTGCATAACAGTCTGGGATGGTGACAATGACGTGAGACCACTTTTGCTCTCTAATGAACCAGAGTGTTACTTTGTTTTGTATACAGAAATATAAATATGTCATTTATATGTTATGTCGCATTGAATGAGGTGTGTCATTAAATGCTAATTAAAGTTATGTTATGTTTCCAGTGTGTGTCTTCATATATTTTTCTCTGTGTGACTAGTATCAGTACGATATTATTCATAACAATTATGTATGAGGTAACCTTATCTCATTTCTTACCGTGTTCTTGGCATGTGGTTTTTCTCCTTGATCTATGACTTCACTATCAAGGTGACAGTCCTGCAAACATTAACATGTTCACATCTACGAAAATGTATGAATGGCACGTACATGTATGAACATACTGGCAAGAGGCAACCGGTAGTGTAGCTGTTTGCATGTAAACTGACGCCAGACATTCACAATGGCATTAATTGAAAGCCAATGTGCATTTTTGTGTATATGAACACGTGACCCATCTGTTTGATAATTAGATCTATTTATAACGATTCAAATTGACAAAACATATTCACAATATTGCATGACAAGAGGGATGACTTTAATCTGCCAATATACAACTTTATGTAGAACAATATTCCAGCAGCCCGATTCTTTTATGTCTACATTTCACAACTTTTGAGGTACAATAGGACATTTCTCATGGATCCGCACCTGAGCACATCCCTATGTTGGGCGTAGTTGTATTGCGTTTGGTATGCATTCAGTGCCGATTGAACACGTCAACGCCTCGATTATCTGCCGAAACAGATTCCAAACGTTAAATAGAAAATCATATTTGAAAATCATATGAATGGATCACTAACAGTCAATTTGTTTTTAAAGATACATACACAAAATTCAATCTGGAACTATTGTGAGCTGTAGCTACTAGAGACAATCACGCAGGGTCAAAGACCGCAGACGTGGGTCCACAAATCACTGAAAATCCGAGTAATCTACCACTGTTACATTTCATGCATTCAGCATGCAAATAGTGTCATAAAACTTACTACAGTTTAAAAGTAAACAGAGTATCATTAATTGTATCAACACCTAAGAACGATATGCCATTACCAATGTATGAACGTTTCATATAAAGCAGTATAATAGTGCATGATAAAACTTAATAAAGTGATCAAATAGGTTCAACATATTCAATGAAGGCCTCATCTAAAGATGTTCAAAACCTGCTCCGACAAGAAGAAACTATTGCCATATTTGACAAAAGAGAGAATGCTTCTAGATCTTTGCCAGGAAGATCTGAAACAGTATGATTTGACGGATGAGGACGAGAAGTATAGAATCATGGGCATCATCAAAGACTTATAAAAAGGAACACTTAAATTGAATGGAACTGGTCAGGAACAGGTTCAAAGTAAACATCAGGCTGCTCCTTATGCTTAGTAAAGTATCATTTCTAAGATGCATTATTTTGATACACTGTTGCAAAGTCAGTTCAAGAAATACAGATATATACCCTACACTGTACAAGAAATAAGCTAGGTCTTCGTTGACTTGATTCCAAAATATTATTAGTTAGAAACATGATATGTAGTCAATACATGATCGCAACAACATTAAATAATCTCTCCACGACACGCTGTATTTGCCTAAAAGCCAATGTATATAAATGGCTTCCACAGTATAGGTCTTTAAGAAAACTCATATTTCACTCCCCAAAGGAGCTCGAGAAACAATGTTTTACATTTGCACTTCATCTAACAAAATAGATAAGTGTGGCCATATTTGCCTGCACAACTAAAATATTGCATTTGTGAAATGTCTGTACAAACGTGCGTATAACCGTGTGATATAATTTACAAACATACTCATAACCCATGTAGATTAAAAAACACCAGCCTTACGTACAATGAAATGTGAGAACAATATACGATAGGCAGTCAATAGGTCGTTCAATTTATTATTGATAATAAGAGCTCATATAGATCTAATGAATGAAATATCCGTATAGGGGTTAGTCAAACTATCCCAGATGAAAATTACAACAGCTTGCAAACAACTATGAACGCACAATGACCTATGCCTTTACAACATTAGACAAAACACAGTGAAGTCAACGAGCCTGGCCAACCGATGGGTTATCCACAGACCGGATGCTGGCAATCTAGAATTTCCCATAATTCCCTAGGAATAATGGTAAATGAGCAAGCATGTGTATTATTCGAGTCAGTGGAACACGTTGTTTTTTTAATATTTCGCATCCTGTTAACAGACATTTAAAAGCTTACAGTATGCCTTGAGACAGATTAAAAAAAAAAAACAATGAAGAAAGTGTTTTTAACGTGTAAGAGTTCTGCTTTACCTGTTAGCATTCATCGTATCCTGCCCGCCGATCCATTCGCACATGATGCAGATCGATGTCTCGGTTCAATGTAATAGCTGTATGCACACATCCAGAAATGTGACGACGAATACTGGCATTTGCCAAATGTGCATGTAACATGGGAGAGAAAATTTATTGATCGACTCCACTGACAAATACATGTAACCATGGCTACGACAAACGATTTCTCCTGGTTTAAGATTGCTCATGTGTGCAGACTATGTCATACCGACCTGGTGACTTTGTTATCACACAATTCACCCACAACCTTTTTTTCACATACATTGTGCTATATGTATGACGACGAACCATTCGATCATCAGTAACATGTCGGGGCCTTGCTGAGGTTGGTGGTTTGATATAACGGTTATTTGATTTAGTTATAAGACTGATGAAGAAAGCATTCAATTCATTAGTTAGGGGAGATGGGGGAGGGGGTCGCAGGCGGGATGGGGATTGGGGTGTGTGTTATAGCGATGTCCACCCTCCTCCCTGTTTTCCAGAGCAGAACACCCGAACCGTTGAATATATGTTGTTTAAACTTGCTACACAGATCAGTCAAGTGGTGTACTGGTGCCTTTTAATGATTTCGGATTCTTATTTCTTTTGTGTGTGTGTGTGTGTGTGTGTGTGTGTGTGTGTGTGTGTGTGTGTGTGTGTGAACTCCAAGAGCATTGATATATTTTAGATGAACTTTGCTGTACAGATCAGTCTTGAAGTTAACTAGTGCGTTTTCATGATTTGGTCTACTGAAGTATACTGAACAGCATTATTGTCTTCTTCACTGACCTGGAGGTACCCAATGGCATAAGTAGCTAAATTCGATTTCGAAATTGCCCCGGAATGTGGTCTCAGGTCATCTCCTGGTGACCCTTGTTGCATAATGTGCTTTGTCGCTTTAATCATTATCGCTTTTATTAACTCGCACGCCGTCTGAAGTATTAATTGTGCCAGAATACCATATTCACTTTGATTATGTTTCCAGGTTTGTCCTTTCACCAAAATGGTAAACATCTGAGACCTTCGGGCTTTCCTCCAACATTTAGGTGACTCATTGGTGTTATACCCAACTAACTAACTCACTATAGGTTTGTCAGCATAATAGGTGCTCGTTAGATTCGCCAAGGCGGTGAGCGGCTAATTCCTGCATCTCGTTGGAATACACGTAGGAATCCATATGTACTTCTGGGTGAATAATAGGCTACGTTAGATCGGCTGGTCGAGAGTTGTGACTTGGTCGGTATCGTGGATCAGACACAGGTTTGAGCTGCACTCGTTGTAAACGTACAATGCGTAGAAATGTGTTCAGAAAAGTAGAATGTCGTTGGTCAGCATTTACAAAGACCAAAGCACACAGATCATTGTCATCATTAAGGTCAGTGACTATCAGTATCTGTGTGTGTATTCTATTCTCTGAAGTTGGAGATTTATTGCGAAAAAAGCAATATCCCAGCTACGGTTGAACAGCTTGGAAAGCAAGGCCAATCCAGTGATTGAAATCATGAGCAACGATTTTGGCCAAGTCACAGCTTCCTAAACAGCCGATCATGCGTCCAGAAATGAAATATATTTTCCAGATAAACACCGTTGTTGAAATATGGTTATGAAATGTAACACAAAGGAGCCCAGAGACTTCTTTCTGTGCATGGTTTGCATTGGATGTATTTGTTTCAGGCCCTGTATGACAGACTAGAGATCTATATGCAATACACAGTTTGTGAGAAATATGTTTCGAAATTCGAAATTTGTCGACATGAATATGAATCATCGATTTAAATCGATCAATATGTAATTATTTCTAATGATAACACATTTCGTGCAGCAAGAAAAACAAGAAAAATAAAATATTGGTATACACGTTCAATACACCTGGTATCAGCTTTATTTGATACTGATTCATAATTCTAATGCCAAAGTCGGAATCGTACGATAGCCATAACTTTTAGCAGAAATGTCTTATGATTATGGAAAGTGTTTTTGTAGGGTTTTTTTGCGTCAGTTTCGTCAGCAATCACTCATTTCATTCTCCAAATAAATACAACAACCACTATTCACTTCTTCGTTTGTTCAGAATCGCGATTCTCTACTAAAATATAACATGTCTTCCAGCTGAAATTATTTGATCTTTGCACAATGTTTCTTCTCTACAGGCAATATATCACCTTAGCAGCTTGTCAAGCCACATGCCGATCGTACTCTCAATCACTTCGAACTGTAACAAATCAAGTGTGATTTTAACAGATTCACATATAATGACGGCTACAATGAGATAAAGCTGCGTAACAGTCAAGTTTCATATAATAAGTAATTTATAACTGCTCAGGCCAAAGCTACTTCAAATTTGAACTTGTTTTAATGTTTTCTCGACGTTACATGCCTGAGATTTGCCTGTGTCTTTCTTGTCGTCGTCGAGTGAGTGAGTGAGTATTGTTTTACGCCGCTTTTAGCAATAATCCAGCAATATCACGGCACTCCGGCAATATAATATAACACTTTCAATATATATTGTCAATACAAGAGAATAGCTAGTCTAGATTGTCAGCCGAAATAGATTGCATTTGGTGTAAAAGGCAAAATAGCTGTGAAAAAAATATGAATGGACCACCGATAATCAGTGATGACATGATACCAATGGTTGGCGAAAAGGGTACACGTAAGCATGATCTGCCCTACCGGTAGCATTAGGGAAATACGTTCGTTTTAAGTTATATTTATTTTACATGTAATCTTCTAACACTTGTCCATTAAAGGAATGAAATACAGACAATCCAGTGATTGACATCACGAGCATCGATCCATGTAATTTGGACACTCTGACATGCATCAACCAAGTCATGACCATCCGATCCCGACAAGCATAGTCGCCTTTTACGGCAAGCATGGGTTGATGAAGACCTATTCCACCTCGGACCTTCACTTGTCTCAGTGAACGTGTGTAAAGTGTCATCTTTTGACGTCTTGGAGGAAAAATGGTTTTCATCATTTACAGCAAGCTTGATTTGATATTGAAGGATGACGTTATGTTTTCGTAAGGTCGACAATGAGACAATACCCCAAGGCTCCTTCTAGGATTTTATAATGCAGTTTATAATGTAGGATACAGAAAGAAGCATGCAATGTTGCCATTTTAAGTAACTTTATCATGTGTATATTAACATCTAGAGAGAGAGAGAGAGATTCTTTATTTCCTCCAGAAGTTAATCCGAAGATTATACATAATTAATTAAACGTAATCACAATGTAATATGATGTGATTATCATAATCAAAGGCATGCTTGTTACACAATAAACAGTCCCTTGAAGTTTTGTTTCGTGATGACACTCTAACACAAAATTTTGAACTTGACCTCTGTTCTGGTTACAGATATGCTAGTTGCCATAATATATGGTGAGTGAGCTTAGTGTGTATTAGCATGAAGCGTGAAAGACCTGTATTGATTGAAACTTTTCTGCGCCACATACTTTCTTCATATTCATGAATGGATTTATTAACCAGTTGCTTCCAGTTTCTCTTTGTAGGAAATAAACCACAGCTTACATATGTACAAAGGTTGTTTCGTAGGTTAAACTTGTTAAGAACTGATAATAAATTTACATACAGATTTAGGATTAGTTGGATTTGCAATGTATGCACAAAAAAGATGTTTAACAAAATTGTTACAGGGTAAGTTACATAAGCGGCCAAGCAGCTGAAGTTTATATACAGGTAGGAGGCAGAGTAGATTTATGATGTAATTACACTGGAGTGGAGAACCCTGTTATATACACATTTTAGGGAACCATATTTACTTTTTTAGCCTTTAATAATCAATCAAAATTTATACAAATACTTATTTATTCGTATAACATATATTTCATTTACTTTATCATCTCTGTCATAGATGCTCATATCTTTTCATACTTCTTGTAGATCGTTCCATCTGGCCGAGCTGCAAGACGTACTGTTTCTCTTTTTTCAATACATTCATTAATGAAGATCTTGTATTCAGCAGATGAAACTCTGCCTTCAATTGCTGTTGCCAGGAAAGCACGGATCTTAAGCTCCAGGGCTTGCCATCCTGCTGCGGCCTCCTTGTAACGTGTGCTTCTGTCCTCGTAATATGACTTCAGAACTTCACTGGATACCAGAAACACAATGCAAATCGCCAGGATACCTGCAATAACCTGTGCGACAATTGGAGCCTGCTTTATCGATGACACGATTTCTGGTAAATTTTCCTCTACTATATTCGACAGATATTTGTGTGTCAGGATCCCAACAACAGCAACGACCATCATTTTAATAACAGCAAATAATATATATTAGCATTCATTTGTACTCTACGTTTTGTAGCACAAGATGGCTGCTCTGTGGCTTCTGACTTCAATTTCTCTTAAAGGCCGAATGCTTTCTCTGATAGCTGTTGCTTCATCTTTACATTGATCTAAATATGGTTTACTGTGTCTGAAACAAAATGAGAAATAGCAGCACTTAATAAAACTATGTGTACTTTTCCTGTACAATATAGATGTCTATGTATGCAAGGTAAAGACATTGTCCACATTTCTCCGGAGTGGAAGAGCATTATTGCCCTGTATGATTGTAGCCTTTATTGTCATACATTGTCCTTACCTTAGCATTTTTTTTATAGCTTCATCTGATGGGGAAGATTGACCATGATTACTTTTACCGGGTCTGAAAGAGGAGACCAATAACCCAAAATGTTGTTATCTGTATTAGTGTTATAAACTTATTACAGAGTAAAGTGCAATTTGTAGTTGACGTTTTGTAGCACATGATTGCTTCTCTGCGGCTTCTGACTTTCAATATTTCTTAAAATTATAATGCTTCTTTTCTAATAGCTGCTGCTTCATCTTTACTTTGATCAAAAAAGGCATTACCAGATCTGAAAAGAATTCAAATGCAGCAGAATATTGTTATCTTTATCAGTATCAGAAAGCTATTACAAGAGTTATGAGTAATTTTAATGTTCAATATATATGCCTGCGTATAAACCATAAGTGATAACCCACATTTTCACGGTGTGGACGAGCATTGTTGTCCTGTATGAATATAGAGTTTCCAGTAACGCATTGTCCTCACCTAATCGTTTCGCTCATAGCTGTTGCTTCATCTTTGCATTGACTGTGACCGGTATTACCGGATCTGAAGGGAAACCAAATATATCAAATTATTCTTATCTGTATCAGTATAAAAAAAAACTATATGAGAAAAGATTATTTTTATGTTCAATTTATATGTCCGTGTACAGCACGTTGATGCATTGGGTAGATTTCAAAGGTGTGTTATATCCTGTAAGATCGTAGCGTTTACATGATGTATAGTCCTCATCCACAGGACTACACTGTGGGCCAACTTATTCTTATTCTCAACAACGTGTACCGGTGTCCTTGCAGAACCTATAATGTCACCCAGAGCATTAGGAAATTGACACCAAATCAAGTATGCGCCACTAGAACATCCTTATCAAACCGTTCATGGCAGCTTCGTAACAGCGGCCATTATGTTTGAAACGATTGACACTGGTCTAATATAGAAACAGGACTGACTGCCACTACCGTTGATTCCAAAACTGATGACGCAGGAATCATAGCAAACGAGCTTGCCTATAACGTTGTGTCAGTGGTGAGCGAACTGTCGGACATTGCGAATGGAGACGGTGATACATATGGTGGTCATGCTAATGTGACCGTATGGGGCATTAAAGTTCTTGTCATTTGATCTGATGTCAGAAATCTGTTATGCAGGAAAAGGTTAACATGATCCCTGGCCTGCCTCTGTGTTGTGACCTGATCAGCGTTTTGTTTGTCCTCTTTCATACATCATTGTTCGCATACAGTTTTCATTAATAATGTAAAACAAAACGTGTTTTAGACGAATAACGTATTTATTTTTATCCACATGTCTTGTTTTGAAACGGACGACATATACTGGAGGTGTATGTGAAAGATTTGGAAGTTCAATATATGATTTATTTATTCCATGTACAGCTTGAATACATATACTTATAATGTAAGTCGTTCCAATCCAGAAGAAGTACGACAAAAGAGAACTGCATGCGCATATCAAGCTAACCTTATCTGTTAACTAACACTAAAACACATTATTGTAATGCTTATGAAATGTTCCATTGTTCCAGTTATTGTCTTTATTTAAGAACTGACTTTCGTGTGGGTTGGTGTTTTGTCCTGACCTGCCGCTGAAAGAAGAGTGGGACTTTCTCAAATCGCCATTGGGAGATTCATACCAAGTATGCAATGTCGAGTGAATGAATGTTTGACAGATCGTGGTGGTATTAATTTAATGACAACTGATGCAAAAACGTCCAAATTCACATCTTACCCCTTTCGTCCTTCAAATTCGTTTGCGGTACTTCAGAATCATTAGCGGTCAAAACATTTACTGTCATACTTCACTATCGGTTTGGATGTGTTTCCAATGCGTTCATTATTATCATACTAATATCTCCTACAAATTTCACAATTTTAAGTTACTTCCATGCAACCCCTACTTTCGTGAAGAACATATAATAGTTTCGAAGCTCGAAAGAAAATATTATTGTTTTGTCCTTTCCTGGATGAAATCTTATAAAAAAGAAACATTTTAAAATCGAACCACGGTTATTTGCGATGAGGTCATATGTCTATCAGCTATTGCATCCTAGAAGAGTTATTGTCCCTTTGTCGCCCTTACAAAAAATGTGACAAGGCGATAAATATCTTCAAGGAATGACCAGAGACCACGTACGCTCACTCTTATGAAACCTTTAATCAATCGAGAAAGTTGCTTTGTTTTGTAGACAGAAATATATTTATGTCATTTCTATGTTATATGGCATTGAAGGGGGTGTGTCATTAAATGCTATTTAATGTTACATCCAACGTTTTCAGTGTGTTTTTTCTACATTCTTCTCTGTGTGGCTATTATCAGTACGATATTATTTATAACAATAATTTATTAGATACATCGTATTTCTTACCGTGTTCCTGGCATGTTGTCTATCTCCTTGAACTATGACTTCACTATCAAGGTGAAAGTTCTGCAAGCATTCAAAAACATTAAAATGTTCATATCAAAGAAAATGTATGAATGTCACGTGTGAACCTACTGGCAAGAGGCAGACAAAGGGGAAACTGAAAACGTAACGTCTCGATTATCTGCCGAAACAGATTCCAAAGGTAAAATAGAAAATCATATTTAAAATTGATATGAATGGATCCCTAACAATCAACTTGTTTTAAAAGATACATGTATACATTTGGTAATCAGGCCAGAGAATTCAATCTGGAACTATTGCTGCAGTAGCTGCTGGAGACAACCACACAGGACCATGACCGCAAACGTGGGTCCACAAATCACTGGAGCTTCTAGGTAATCTGCCACTGTTACATTTCATGCGTTCAGCATGCAAATAGTGAAATAAATCTTACTTCAGTTCACACGGGAACATAGTATCATTAATTGTATCAACACCTAAGAGGCATGTACCATTACACATGTATAAACGTTTCATACAAAACAGTAAACTAGGGCATGATAAAACTGAATTCGGTTCAACACTCAATAAAGGCCACATCTAAAGATGCACAAAACCTGCTCCTACAGAGGACACTATTGTCATATTTGAAAGAAAGAGAATTATTGGAAGAATGTTTCTAGATATTTGTCAGGAAGATCTGAACCAGTATGATTTGACGGATGAGGATGAGAAGTATAGAATCATGGGCATCATCAAAGACTTCAAAAAAGGAACACTAAACTTGAATGGAACTCGTCAGGAACAGGTTCAAAGCAAACATCAGGTGCTCCTTATGCTGAATAAAGTATGCATTTATTTTTGCTTCTCTTGCTCCGCTATTTATTATGTGCTTATCATTTCTGAGATGCATTATGTTAATACACTTTTGCAAAGCCCGTTGAAGAAATAGAGACATACACTCTTCAAACAATGAAACGCACAGGTAAATTTTAGTAAATGTATTGTACCTAATAAAGTCGATAAATTTAATTTAATATCATTGATACAAATAGGACGTTTTGGAGCTCGATAGTCACATGTTGTCGTTGAACAAAGGCATTGAAAACTGTTCATTGTCTTGTCACATAAGGCCACAAGGTTGCGCCCCTGACAGCTATCACGTCTTGGCATCTCCTCAGCACTGACTGGATAAGTGTACAAATTCTGTCCAGCGGAATTCTGCGCCATTCTGCTTGTAATGCGTTGGTCAGTTGTAGGAGTGTCTGTGGCGTGTTTTTACGTTGACGTACACGTCGATCGAGTTCATCCCAGAGGTGTTCAATTGGGTTGAGATCTGGAGATCTCGACGGTCAGGGTAAGTCGTTGCTGTGTGCATTATGAAGGTAGTCTATCGTGACACGAGCTGTGTGCAGTGGAGTGTTGTCCTGTTGAAACAGCTACCTCTGGCGGTCAATGATTGGAAGAAGGCGAGGTTGAAGGATTTTATTCATGTATTGATTTACTGTCAAATTTCCCTGAACCACAAACCAAGTAAGGGCTCATGGTTTAGGATATGACCGCCCACATCATGACGCTACCGCCACCGAAATTGTCGAATTCACGTCCACAATGTGGGGCAAAACGCTCATTTCGACGATGATAAACACGTTGTCTTCCATCTCAATGGTGAAGAGGAAATCGTGATTCATCGCTAAACCACACTCGTTTTAAGTTTCACAAATTCAAAGGCTGTAAGGTATGGCACCAACGCATGCGTCGCTGTCGATGGATGTGCTACAAAACAGGGACGATAACTGGTCTCCTGGGTTGGATTCCAGTCTCGCGAAGATGGTTCCTGACAGTCTGGTCCAATATCCTCCTCAAACCAGGTATGCGTCGAGCAGTTACAGTAGCTGCGGCATTGCGGTGACTTAGGTGGAACAGTCGAATGTAGCGAACATGTGCAGGGGTGGTAACTCTTGGTCTCGGCCATTTCTCGGACGGCCTGCAGTGGAATTAAACTGTGTGTATCGATCCCAAGGCGGCAAATGGTGCTGTGGTGGCCGTTGAAGTGCAGCCGAAGACTGCGGTTCTCCTCTTTAGCGACTCTCCGATCAGCAGCGCTGAGTCGCGGCATTTTCGATCTTGAAAAATGTTGACAATTGAATGACTAATTATTGGCTTATGTTTGCCTTTTTATAGCCACTACCACGACTAAGAAATGCCATAACTTGCACGTGCATTTTGCTTTACTATTTTCCGCCATGACATTTTGGAACAAGTGTGAAGACAATGCCATTTAAGACATTGTAAATCGACAATGGCTGCGTTTTGACGCACCGTTTGTCGAATATCAGGCCACCAAAGTTTTTCAATATCATGTATCCAATTCATATACCGGATTTTTTGTGTAGTCAGGTTCAATGAACTACATACTACCTGTGCGTCTCGTTTTTGAAGAGGGTATACCCTACATTGTACATGAAATAAGCTAGGTCTTCATTGACTTGCTATCACTTATAGCAATGGTTATAGCAGTGTCCATCCTCTATCCGGTTTCCCATTTCCGGAGCAGAACTCCAAGACGTCATTCAAAGAAAATCCTTTTAGTCACTAATTACAAGTCTAGATGTGTACAACGTTCTAAGCTCTTACAATAACTATATTGTAATCGGTCACCTTTTGTAAGGTGTAAGACTATTTGGCAAATATGGGAGAGCAACCATGGAGCTTGGCAACAGTTATCAATTGTGTCCAGCACATTTCTACATGTATTTCTATTTGAGGGCAATTGACAACCTGCCTGCACTTTTAACAGAAAAAAACCTTTAATATTGTCGGTACAGGTACCCGACTACACCTTTCAACTAGTAAATGAAAATGCAACGCGACGCGATTTTTCAAAATATAGAAAACATGGAAATAAAGTGAATAGTTTGAGGAAAGTTGCAAAGTATTTTTTTATATAAACTTGGATTGATTATTGTCTACACAAATGAATGAAAACAGTTCTAAATATTGGAAAAGGATTCCTAAGTCAGCCGCTTTTGCTCACTGATAAACACAGTTCACGAATTTTTAGATCATTTTCAGATTCTGAAGCTGGAACGTCCAGCGATAGGCCCAATGGCCACTCCATGTCACTGTCAGGCATGCCTAACATGATCTGAGGATCTGACGTTTAGAAGACCAGAATGGGCGTTACAACTGCTCACAGATGAGTCCAGGGGAAACTTGACAGCTCTGATGGTCGTGCAAATGCAGAGACGTAAGTTCACTTTGCACAAGGCTGATGCCCGCCCACACGTTGCACGAGTTGGAACAGATTGTTTGTTGCAGCATAACATTGTGGTACTACCATGGCTGGCTGTTTCTCCGGACCTCTTCCCCATTGAATATGTCTGGGATTAGAATGAGAGACGTCTACGACAGGACCAGCGCCGCTGGTAATGCAAGCACAGTTGGGCCAATCTTTGGTTGACATTTGGAACAATATCCCCCATATCCGCTGCCCTGTCTGTATCAACGTAAATGGTCGTAACATTCGATATTGACTTTGTTAATTGAGTTGTTACACCATCCCTCTTTCAGGGCGTGTCCCTCTGTCTCCTGCTACCAGGTACGGGTGTTGTCAATAAACTTGTCATGATAAAACCTTGATCACACAAAACACCCAGTATTATGTTGTTCATTTCAACAACATAACATTTCACCACTTTATATGAAGCACAGAATCCGTTTCCGTTAATATACATTCGGTAAAGGAATTGAATTCACAAAATGGAAATGGTACAATCGCTGAATTAAAAACAAGAATTCATCTGCATGTTATCAGAGCTACGTAGATGTAGCAATCTGAATGATGAGGTGTTCAGGGTTAATTTGCCTCACATTATTTTTTGCTTTTGCTGTTCACCTTTGGAAAACATTTCCCGAATGTAACAAATAAACATTAATTAGACAACCTTTGTCTATTAGCATTATTAATATGGGGTCTAAGCCTAATACGGCAAAATTCTAAATGGTAACGAAATTCAATCTGAAGAACAAAATATTTAATATTTTAACGATGTCAATCAATATATTAATTAATTAAAAAGAAGTATTGATCACTACTTCTCTATTGTATCACGTCTTCCATGTTGCTTGCATATGTAATATATTGCTATAGTACAATAGCCCCAGTCATATTTTGTGTTATATATTTTATTGTTGTAAATAATATATCATGTAAATATCACGGTTTAGTAATTATTCTCTAGCTTCCGCGTGTTACTTAAATTCTAAATGTCCAACATTGTCATCGTTTTACTACCTACTGCGATATTAACGCTACGTATTTGTTTTATAAATGTACACTTATACACAGGCATACATACATACATACATTCATTACTCGCCCGTGAAGAGATCACCCGTTTAATAAACATTTAGTTGTATACTGGGCCATCTGAGAGACAATCTCCCCGCTGTTTCATTCACAGCCATTAGCAAGAATCAGGGGACAACTCAAATGATTGGCTCAAAGTCCACTCCTGCGAGCCCACTCCTGTCATTGAGGAACGTTTGGCAGCACTGACATATATACTCAACAACAAAAAATTCTGTGACATCTGTATTTTTGAAACAAGTAAAGTTTGGTTTCAATATTGTAGTACATGTATGGAATCAAGTCACAAAAACGCAACTGCTACAGAAAAGCATGCTTTCTATGCAAAAGTTGACTTTTAGGCAAGCCCCATGCATTTCACTACCAAAGAATGGGTATAAAAACATGTGCGTTAACGGGATTCCATATGCATTGTTTAGCATCATGCTGAGAACAACCACTCAGAAAAGCAACAAAATTACGCAATTATGGAACATTACGAAATGCCACGCCTGTCCGAAAATGAGCGTCTGCGAGCCATTGGTATGCTTGAAGCATGATCGAGTCAACGTGATGTTCCAAGACAATTTAACGTCCACAGAAACACCATTTGGTGTTTATAGCAACGTTGGCAACAGACGAATGCAGTCAGAGACCATCCTCGCAGTGGCAGGCCACGCGTAACCAATATTCGAGAAGACAACTGGATTCG